CAATGGCCAATATTCGAGTGCCGTTCGTGCCACATGGCGTATACGCACATGGCCCGGGCTGGCTCTCATTTGCCGGCTAGACATTGTCTGGCTTTCGATTTATTGGCCTGCGATTGTCCAAGGTCAATGCTTAAGGCAAATATAACAAAATATTTAGACTAACTTTTTGGGGGGCACTTTCCATATTATTCCTTAATGGCCTCGAATATGCTTTGAAATTTGGATTTTCCCTCCCTCCACCAACCATAATGAAACATCAAAACGCTGCTTGTGACACCAGCAGACGGGGAGGGAGGAGGAGAGTGTGAGCGTAGAAACGCCCACCAAATGGCGTTAATATGGAAGAAGAATGTTTATTTTTTGTTTTTTTAATTATTATTCGGGATTTATGAAAATTATGCGCATACCAAAAACTCACAATTTGACGTGGGTCTCGGCTGGTGTTCGTTCCTGCTGATGAAACATTAGCAAACGATTTAACTTCCCTCCTCCCTAGTCATACGCTAGAGTACATTGATTTCTGCCCCATGGCCTTAAATATTCTTTTAATATTATAAAATTCATAGTAAACGGCAAATCATTGGCTCCCTTTGGGCAAATTTCAAAGAAAAGCCCAGCCACGTGCCAGCTACTTCATTTTTGTTTTGTATATTCTCAATTCCGGTTATAAATTTCGCATTAAATGAACAGTTTAACGTTGGGCCTGCATGGGGTTTTGGGTTTGATTCGGTTTGCGAGAGAGTGAATCCAGAAACTGGATTAGCAATACGCAGCTCAATTTTATTGCGATTGCCGCCTGGCTGACTGTGTGTCTGCCTCGAGCATGTGCCACACACGTCTCTGAATGGGACTGGGACTGGGACTGGGACTCACGCTCTGGTAGTCTGTTACTGTGTGCAATTTATGCGCTCACGTATAAATAGAATTGATTTTGCTTAAGCATCTCATATATTTTACCTGCTGCCAGGTGATTTAATGTCTGGCGACATAATCTGCCATTTGCCACTCGCTTCCCTGACATCACGTACCCAGAGAGAGCCAAAGAGAGGGAGAAATAACTGAAATAAGTATATCCGAATCGTGTGTGTCTCTCTGTGTCCTTAAGCCTTGTGCAAATCCGAACCCATTTTCATGAGATTCCATTATGCGTGAGGCGGCAGAATAAACAATGAACAATACACACACACACACGTACTCCCATGGATAATATTGTATGCCATATGTTCCCATACAGCCAAAGCAATTATGTAAAAATAATACGCGAGGTATTTATGTGTCTTCTTCCCTACCGAAACGAGGCTGAGCTGCTGGCTTATCGCTGCCCATGTCCTCAGCCTGCATGTGTTGGGTATTTGGAAGACTTTGCTGGGCTTATGGCACACAGGCAGAGATACTTAAAGCAGTGAATCAATGAACCATCAATGTTTTAAAATCGAAGCTCCAAGTTTTCACTGCATTGCACTGCTTGTCACGAGTTTTCACTGCTTGCCAGCCTTTGATATTCAATCAGTCGGAACAGCTTAGCAGCTGAAATTTTCGTTTACTAGCATAGAAAAACACTGTACTTCCACATCCGCAAAAGCTTAAATAATACAAAGCGCACAAACACCTACGCAAGAAATCAGGGGAGCCAGGAGCAGGAGCTGGAGACAAGCAAAGCAAACAAACAAATAAATAAATAAATACCCGGCACACAAGCATCGGGAGAGAGAGAGATGGAACGGATGCGACTTCGTTTTAATCCACAAATGGTAGCTAATGAAGGAAACAGTTTTTGCTCAAAGGCAGAGAAAGGGAGTGGAGCAGCAGCTCGACTGTTGCCTGTCTTTTGGCTTTTGGCTTTTGCAATTTTTATTTTCATAAATTCTCAAAGCATGTTTGCCAGCTCATAAAAACGCAGTACTCCCGCACACACACACACACACACAGGGAATCATCCCCTCCTTACACATTGCCATTTTTATCTCCCTCTTCCGCTTTGGCAGGATACGTACACTGGCGTAGTCGTCGTATAGAGAGGCAAAGCCAAGCGCCCAAGTGGCTCATAATCTGAGCAATTTGCTTGCGTTTTATGTGATTTTTGTTGCTGGTATTAGTGGCTGTAAAGAATACACACCATATCCCAATCCCCCACAAAGCCATATCCAACTCAGGTTGAGTAGTGCGTCTCTGCATCAGCTGATCGGCCGATGTGTGCATCATTTGTATGCAAATTGAAAGCATCTTGTTTGACTCTCCATACATAACCGAAGAGCCTGTGCAGCAGAGACGCGGGTCTCTCCCCTTTATGCTGTTTAAATTTGAAATTAAATTCAAATCGAAATCAATCAAATTGTCGACAGCACCTGACGAGGCTGCAGAATTAATGAGTTTTGACCAAAAATCAATTACATTTCCATGGCATTAATATTGTACGAATGCCAGGCAAACAGGTCGCCTCTCTCTCTCTCTCTACTGGAATGGAGCGAAAAATTATCCAATTTAAAAGTCAAATGTCATTTTTTCGCCTTTCTCTTTTTTTCAACCTGCTCTTTCTGTTGATGTTTTTGTTTGTTTGCCAGCCAGCACATAATGTGAATTACCCAACAAAGGTGATGGCTGGCACTCTCTTGATGAAATGGAAATGGAAATGGAGATGACGGGTGACGCTGATGCTGATGCTGCTAAATTTTTCAACTACCCTAAGCCAAGAGAGTTGGCTGCTTGTGCAAGTAGAGAATTTGTCTCCCAGGGATTCATTTCCATTAGGGTATCCCCATGCACAGGTATCCCACACCTGCCTGTGTTCCTGTTTCTGCTTCCGCTTGCTTTTTTGCTATTTTGGCCAAAGACATTTCCTTCCTTCCGCCACTGGCAAAGGCAGAAAAATTACTTGAATTTAATTTAATGCTAAAAACTTTGTCACTGGCACGCAGCTCGCTGTTAATGTGTTTGCATAAATTTGAAGCAAAAAACAAGAGTGCCAAGTGAATACTTTGGATGGGTTCTTCGGAGTTTCAGACCCCTTCGAATCAGAATTCCCAGCATAGTATTACCAGTGCTGGCCATGGGCAATTAATCAAGCTGCGCACACAGGTCACAGTTTTGCTGGTTCACCTCTACCAATGCAATTGCTGCTCTCACCAAATTGGATTCCTGTTTGTTTTCCCAGATAGATGAGAGATGGGAGATGGGAGACATGTGGCATGGGTGGGAGCAGAGTTTGAGCCAACTGCCTTGCACCACCTGCAGCCACTTAGCCATGAAAGGGGCGGCAAGCTTCTGCAAAAAAAAAAAAATGAGGAAAAACAGAATGGAGAATGGGGAATGAAGTCAGGAAAAGCGGAGCTGTCAACGCACGGAGGAGGATGTACATACATAGTTGCTGCTGGGGTCAAGAGTGTGTCAAGGGTTAAGTGCATGGGAATGTTCCCCCCCGACGCTTTCTCGTCTTTCGTAATGCATTAGCCGTGTCGGACACACGGTGGAGGGGTTCCAGGGTGAGGTGTGTTCAGAGGTTAACCAAAAGCCAGCAGAACTTCTCCGCTCGCTGCGAAAAACGTAGAAAGCATTTTGGGAACCTCTGTCTCTGTGACATTTAGTAATATTTAGTACATAAATAGAACTGTCCAACTTTATAATCCCACCCCCGCTTTCCCTCCCTCTCTCCTTAGCTCTGTCCGCCAAGACCAATTGTTTATTTATTGTTGGATTCGCTGGCAACCTTGCAACCCCCCAGGGGAAAAACAAAACGGATACACGACAAATTCGTGTGTAAAAAATGCATAAGTGTTTTCCATTTTGATTTTTGGATATCCATGCTAAAGCAGCAGCTGATTTGACATTTACTCTGCCACTTACTGTGTGCCATTTTCCCCACTTGCCTTTGACGCTGTGGAAAACTTGGTTCAACTGGTTGCTGACGCTGCCAGATTGCTGCATAGTTCGCGATTCTAATAGAATATTAATGCAACGACAAAATAAATCATTTTGATTCAGTTCAAGGCAAAACTTTAAAAAATGTTTCATGAATTTCTCGTTTATCTGAGGCTAAGGCCCATAGTCCAGCTGCTCTGCCTCGTCGCTGGCTGCATGGGTGTCAATTACTCTTGCTGCTGCCACACTCTCTGCCCTGCTGGCTGTTGCTTTTGTGCTACGGTCTGTTGTCTGTTGTCTGTTGATGTTTTGGCCTTGCCTTGAAGCAATTTTTATGGCTCATAAAATTCGAAATTAGAACTGGATGTGGATGTGGATGTGGATGTGGCGCTGCCTTCCACTGAAATCTGGTAGCTTTCGCGAGTGGATTTTCTTTTGCAGAATTAGTGGGTATTACATTTAAATGGCATATAATTTGTTAGCGCCATAATATTTATGCGAATTGTGGCCGTACACTTTTATTTATGTTCACTCAGTTGCCAGCACTGGCAGTTCTGCCAGCTCCTGCCCACAGCACCTTCCCATTGAGAGGCATCCAGCAGTGTTCAGTCCCCAAGCTGACAATCAAAAGAGGAGATTCCCCCCTGCCTTTCACTTGCCACAATGCATTACGCCACTGAGCGATACACAGCGGCGTATGCGCAATATTTTGCTGCCTGGGGAAACAATTATTTATTTTTGTTGCCTTCTGCGTAGATGCGGAAATTTTTAATTGCCGCCTTTGCCTGTGAGAATATTTGAGAGAGAGAGAGAAAAGGATGGCTGACGGCGTTGTTCTGCCAAAGCTTTTGTGGGCTAAGGGCACGTGGCTAAGAGAGAAGTCCACGTCCAGCTCAACTCTCTTCCAGCAAGGCACACAGAGCCGCTGGAACGTGCGACCTTGCGCTGGCACGCAGCTTTAGTGGCAAGTAAACAACAAAAGAGACTCGAATAAATCACAGAAAGTACAGCAAATATTTTGCAAGCCAACAAAGAATGAGCTCTAGTCCCAACCTTTGCCAAACCAATAACAAAACAATCAACTTTATGCTTACTTTTGAGTTTAAGTCTGGCTAATCGTTTGCTTTTCCTTTTTACCATTTCAGTTTCAACATCGCATCGGAGTAACAGGATACAGAAATACAGCAAGGAGCCAGGGGGGGAGGCAATATGACGGCCCTGTCTTTACGCTGGCCATGGGCTCGCGCTCGCGGAGGGGGCATCATGTTTTCGCTTTGGCCTTTGATGATTGAACGAACATTCCAGCTGGCGTAAGCAGAAGGACACACAGAGCCCAGCGACAACGCAATCGATAGCCACACAAAGGATCGCTACACACACCCGAAGGGCAAAGCGCCGATCAGCCAATCAAAGTGTGCCCCCAGAGCAGCGGATAGCGCACCATAGGGGCATTGGTATTCCATTCAATTGACTGCGAACCCGCGGCACAGAGTACAACAACAAATCCAGAACAGTCGGCGCTGCAGGTTCCTCGGAATGAGCAGCAACAGCAGCAGCAGCAGCAGCAGCAGGCGGAGAGCAGCGGAAAGGCAAAGGCTGAGGCCTGAAGCCTGTCGGCTGCTACTGTGGTTGGGCATGCTGCTGCCATTGATTCTGCTGCAGTTGGGGCAGGGACAGGGCCAGGCGGTGGCGGCGGCGGCGTCAGATCTAGAAGCCGCAACACCCATTGGATCCCCACGGACTCGCAACAAAGCGGAAGCTGAAACCCTGATGGCGGCTGGCGACAGCTTCAACATTCGCCACGGGCGCTCCCGCACCTCCCATCTGCTGCACAGCACAAACATCAACAGCAATGACACAAGTGGCGGTACCAGCCTCGCACGCCCCAGCCCAGTCACGCCCACGCCACACCCTGAGGCAGGTGGCACAACAAGCGCCCCAGTCACGCATAAAATACGCAAATTGCATAAGAAGAAAATCAACGAGAGCATTCGAAAGAGCGTGGACAAGAGCCTGGGTGTGCTCCATCCGGCCAAGAATCATCGCAGCCTCGCAGAGGCCGAACATCTGCAGGGTCGCCCACCCACCAACGACGACGAGGACCATGAGGATGAGGATGAGAACGAGGACACGGCCGCTCTCAGTGAGGTCATGCAATTGGCGGACGAGATTGATTTGGAGAATTCATTAGAGTCGGCTTACCAGAATGTTGTCGTTGGCTTGACTGCCACGCCCACGCCCACGCCCTCGCCCATGCCACAGCCCCAGCCCCAGCCAACGTTCCCTACGGTAGCAGCGGCAGTTGTCAAATCAACTTCGACACGTGCCACAGGTGCAGCCGATGGAGCTCTGCAACGGCGGCCATTTCTGCGTGCCAACATTGATGATGCCAATTACGCGGAGGATGAAGCGGCCATGGAAGACTCCCAGGAGCTGGATGTGGATGTGGATGAGGATGAGGACGAACCGTTATCGACCACTTCCATGCCGAAAATTGTGAAATTTGCGCCTCATCATGGGGCAAGAACACGTCTGCTGCCAGTGAACGGCAGCAGCTGGCAGGGAGGCAAACGAGGAGACGAAAGCGACACTGGACGCCGCTCAAGAGACTCTACAGAATCCGATTACCGTCTCGATTACTCGCATTCACGCAGTGAAAACGATGCCTTCAACAATGACGACAATATCGCTGAAGTCGATGCCGATGACGATGACGATGATGATGATGATGATGATGTCAACGCGGCAAAGAAGCAGTCAAATGCCAGGTTGCCCTTTGAGGATTTGCAGCTGCTCAATGACAGCAGCAGCCGCAGCCGCAGCCGCAGCCTCGGCAGCACCACAGATGGATGGATGGATGATGGCAATCGGAATGGAGGTCCTGGCGCCGAGGCGCGCTCTCAGGCCAACATGGAGGTGAACCAGATCCATTTCGAGGGCGAGGGTGAGTCTGAGGCTGTGCTGGATACCTCAGAGGTAACCATGGACGACGGCTATCCGCCGGAGGTGCAAATCGATGACAACACCAAGCAGCTGGTCATCGAGGATGTCGAGGGCACCGACGACGACACAGACGCGGAGAACATGGAGTCGAATCAGCTAACGGCGGATGTAATCAATGCCAGGGACAGCAAAATAGATTTGGTCTCCAAGTTCCTGCAGTACATCGAGCAGCAGCACTTGATGGGCTCCAATTGTGTGGCCGGCACATCGCTGAATCTCGGCGAGGGCGTGGTCGACCGCTATGCCCAGGACCGTTTCCGCGTGGAGGCCGAGGTGGCCGTCAATCGTGCCAACATGTTGACCAGGTAAGGGCACAAAAAAAAGTACACAGTCAAAGCGAAAGTTCGCTCCACTCTCCTTCGTATTATTATGCACATGAGAAACTTTTCCAATCGAAAGTTTGGCCGCATGCAAGTTTGGGGGAAATGGAAAAAAAAAACTCCAACTTGGTTTCTCAGTGTAGAGAGATTTTTGCCATTAATTTAGTTATCATCTTCGCTGTCGCTGCTACTGACGCTGCTCTCAATTTCGCACAAATCCTCTTCTGTGGCCTCACGTGGAATGTTGAAGATGAGGCGAATCTCGTCGGGTGTGTGGCCCTTGATCATGTTGGCCACCGTCTGGCAGGCGGCATTCAGCAGTGCCCTAATGTCCAAGTAATTGGCGGCCATGATCAGCTCGAAGAGCGTGCCCTGATCCACAGTTGCCAGGAAGTCGGCATCCCACTGGCAAATGGGACATTGCTCCGTTTCGTCATCTTCCGCGGGAGGAACGTCATTTCTGTGGTACTGTGCCCAGCTCAGGATTTTCTGCAGCGTCGTTGAGTTCACATTGGGCACGGGTATCAAGGGTTGCTCCTTCACCTCGTCCTCCAGGCGGCAGTCCTCCAGCATGTGTCTAATGGTGCCCGAACATTTGGCAGTTTCGGCATCGGTGTCGAAAACCACACCATCGGAGGACTCCAACCTAATGACGGGCATTGCCTCTTACGAATTTGGAATTTTTTAACAAAAAACTCAACTGTTTTGTGTGTGTGTCGAATGCTGGAATGATGCCACAAAGGTAAAGCGATGCGAGTTTTGTTCACTAAAAATATACAAAACAAATATTCCCATCGTTCTGCTGCTATTTCCCTCATCAATTGATGGTCCAATTTCAACTTCTGCATCGTTCGGCAAGTGTCTTTTGTCCGGGGAACTGTTGCCCAGGACTACTTTTGACTCGGACACGGACACGGACTCTGTGTGAGTTTTCTCTTTCGCTGCGTGCCCTTACTTATGTTTGATAAAAGTTCAATTACTTAACTGAAAATGGGCAAGCGCACGTTGCCGTTCTCCTGGCAAAGAAAAAACAAAAACGAAAGTTTTTGTGTCCAGGACTTTGATTTATCCAAGGAACGACCGCAACTGCGGTGGTTTTTTCTTCAACAATTTTCCAGCTGGCCAATGTGTGGGAGTCTTCTTTACTTCAGTTTGTTTTGTTGCCCCGTGCCCCGTGCCCCGACCATGTTCATTCCTGATTCCGTCATCGATTCGGTAGTAGCTGGCCAAGTGACAATCTCAAGGACATGCCAGGGAGAACTAGTCGTTGCCTTCGCAGCAGCACCACAAAAGTTTCGCCCACAGTTTGTGCGTTCTTTTTTCTCATAGATTTTCTGTTGTTCTTATTGTTGTTGTTGTTGTTCCTTTGCCTGCCTTTGGTTTTGGTTATGTAGCAGCCCGAGCCCCAGCCAAGAAGAACAATAAACACAAAGTTTCATCATTTGACGCATATGTGGGCACTGGCCAGGACTCCATGGCAGTGTCCAGCTGCCTTCTGCCTGCATATGTCCATGGAGTACATATTATATCTAAATGTGTCGATGTGTGCGCTCTCCTCCATGCGGACACTAGACATTGAATTTATGTCTTTGTGCAGCGCAAAGAAAAAAAAGAAGAATGTGGAAACGTTCTGCTGCTGGTTTTGGTTTGGTTTGTGTTTCCCTCGTTCTTACCTCAGCAACGAAGTTGAGCCAAAAAGTGGGAGAGTCATTCGTAGTTACCTTTCCTTTTTGCTTTATGATAGAGCTGAAGTAGCAGTTGATTGGTTTTCTTCCAGCAAGCAGGCAAAATTCACAACAAATGCTTGGAAAACCGAAGGAAAATGTTGTACTTAGCCCTGGATATGCATTAGTCGAAACCCACTAAACGTTTTGGCTGACTTTCCTGCAGATTACAGAGCGAAATCAAAGCCATTTGTTCGAAAAACTCATTTGTTAAAAGCCACGAGCGAACACAAAGACAAGAAGCAATCGGCAAGGACAGCTGCTAGGGGATAAGAAATGACATGAATGACAAAGCTGACAAATCTAATGAACAAATGCCGCTTGTCAATAAAGCGCACAAACAAACAATTAACCAGACCAAAAGCAACTTGACAAATTAAGTGACGGCGAGGGAGAGGGGCCAGGGCCAGGGCCAGGGCCAGGGCAAGGATCAGGGCCCACTGCTTTGGTCTGGGTCTGGGGAGCAATAAAACGTCAAAATCACACAGCAGAAATGGCTGTTAAACTCAAATGTCAATAAATTAAATTGTGTTCATGGATCGGGGATACGGAATGCCGGCATCTGCCATCGGGATCAACATTATTGCATTTAGTGTCATATGTTTTGGCATTTGTTTTCATTATTTTGTTGGCCAATATGTAATGTTGCCCCTGGGAGCAGAAGGGCCAGCCAGAAGTTTGGCCCAGGCTTTGGCTGATTTATTCAGTCGCTTCGAACTCCGAGCCGCCATAAATCTGATGAGAGATATCTGCCCCAGCCAGCTGGAAGTCTGAATCGGCTGCCCAAATCGCAAATCTGTTGTTCATAATTTCAAGAGGTGTGCGGCAGGGGCTAATCAGGGTTTTGTTTTAATCAGTTTTTCGTTGTGTTAACTTAATCAGCAGGAGCAGACCGGAAAACTTTTACTGTAGCTAGAGGGGAGGGAGAGCGAGAGTTGCGACAGCCTGCCATAGATACTAATTGAAGTTATTGTTTTGTGATACATTGTTATCGCTGCTCCATCCTTCGTTTGTGCTTTCCGGTACTGGGCTGGCTGGCTGACTTTCGTTCTGTTTTGTTTCTTTGTTGTGCAAAGAAAAACAAGAAAAACATTTAACGAAAACAAAAGGATACAGCAGCAGTGGCTATAGCTTCAGGGGTGTCCTCGAGGTGGAACAAGTGGCAGGAAAAACAATATCAATTCAAGTTGAAAATTACGAGCTTCAATTGTTTTCTTGCCTTGGCCACTTTTCGTTAGTTTCCGTTCACGCCGCACCGCCAAAGTGTAGACAGCAAACAAAAAGTAGCAGCAACGACTCCAATACACACACACACACACACAGGAACACACAAGGAACATGCAACAAAAAGTGTTGAAACGTATGAGGGGGGACAAAAGTTTTAAGTACTTAAATGTGTTGTCGTCTAGGTGAGAGAATGCTGAATGAGGAAGGAGTGGCCAAGGGGAGCCAGAAGCTAGAAGCTTGCCTTGGAAAAACTGTGAAATTGAGCTTCCGGTTTCTTGTTCTCCTCGAAAACAAGAGAGCGAGATAGACAGCCGCCATGCCATCATCGTCGTTGCCCCCCCTTTCAGCGCTTCAACTCTTTTGATGCGACACATTTCTATCAGTCTCTCCCTCTGTCACGCTCTGCCTTCTGTCTCGCACAAGCATTTGTTCAATGATTTTGTTTTTCACTTGAACTTTTGGCAATAAACTGAGCAAATAATTTATTGCTTGTTCGTTGCTTGTTCAGCGCTTGTTCCGCTCTCTCGTTCAATTGTTGTTCGTGAAAAAGTTGGTGGCACTTCTTTTATTTCTTGGGTGGTGGGTGGGTGGCCTTTGATTTCACCTCATGAAAGTCATCGAAATTGAAATCTGCATAAGCGATGCACTTTTCAATTGCCAACGTCAATGAAATGCGACAACGGCAAGGACACCAAGGCAAAAGGCGACACCCAAGGAGGGTGCGATGGGTGGGGCTGCAGCCACTCGTTTGCTTAATCTCCAAGCAAAGTTTTTGCCAACGAATGCAAGAAATCCTGCAGCACGTGGCATTGTTTCGCTTGATTTCGCTCAGTGTGCGGCGAGCGAGCGAGGGAGGGATTTTTGCGCTGCTTGATTTACTCTGCACTGCTTCGTGCACTGCTCCGCGGGCGGTGCTAATAATGCCCATGCATGGCCCTGCTTTACCCTCAACTTTTTATTGTTAGCAGCGCTTGCAGTTGTCTACAGTGGAGCCTCACCCCCAAAATGGAAATTGTTTTCATTCTGCGGCGAACAATCCTAATGTGCATGCCCCGTGCTCTCCCCATGCCAACCTAAGCAGGATCATGGTGCAACTGACATGGACATGTTCATGCCTTCTGCCAGCTGTAGGCCACCCGCCGGTACATGTATCCTATCCCCGTCACTACCACCGCTGCCACTGGGCCGCGGCCTTTTTCCAGTTGGTTTATTTTAGTATCCTCGCATCTGAGTTTGACTTTTTGTTGCTGCCTCCTCCTGCCTCCTGCCTGACTGCCTGACTGCCTGACTGCCGCTGTTGCCCTTTCTTTTGCTGGCCGCCACCGCTACCACTGCAGCCCTGTGGTACGCTTTGTGCAACACATGTTGCCATAACTTAACAGCTTAACAAACTTGTCGAGTAGACACCGAAAAGCGGAAAAGCGGAAAAGCGGAAAAGCGAAAAACGACACCCGTCCCCCCGCCCCCACGCCTCTTGAGAGTCGCTTCCATTTCCACTCTTTCCACTGAAGTGGCTGTCGTCCCACTTGGCGAATGCGTAACATTTAAGCCGCAGCTACAGTTCTCTGGGGGCGCCGCAGTCTATTTTTGCGCAATAAAAACATTTGCCACTCTAGCGACCAAAGACAGCAGCCCAGGATCATAGGACAGACCAAAAGAGAAAGCAGAGCAGAGCAAAGCCTCATAGACGCATAGCTGCCGCATTTTGGTAGCCAAAGTTGGCCTTTGCCAAAGGCTGAAAGTCGCAGGGCCCTCGCGAGACGCGACTCATTATGCTCGACTCATCGGCATCCTGCCCTCGAAGCCTGGAAGCCTCCCCCTGCCAGCCGTTAGAGTGTTCGTGTTCGTGTTCGTGTTCCCGGGCGAAACTTTTTTGGCAACTTCTGCGCGGCACAATGGGCGCCAGCAATAATAATCATCAGGCTGGCAAAAGTACGTTGAAAAGAAGTTACCAACTTGAAAGCAATTAATGGACTAAATCAAAAAGGCATTTTTCAAACAACAGCTTCAAGGGAGCATAGCAGTGGTTGGTGGACTTGAGGGGTTGGGGTTTGTGACCAGTACAAACATGTCAACAACAAGTGCCGCCTCGAGGCTCATTTAGCCGCAGAGCAACCAACAGCAGCAGCAAAAACCAAACAGGGAACAAAGCATGAAGAAAAAACAACAACAAGAGAAAAAGAACAAGGAAAGGAGCAACCCAACAGGCAGCAGCAGGAACTTTTAATTAATTGAACTCCTTTTCCTGTTGGATAATTGAACACACACACACACATGCCACAGGAGGCACTTTTATCGAGGCAATTTTCCTCTTACTTGGCCTAACTTTTGATCTTATTTTGTATATTGTTTTGTCTTTGTTGTCTTCTATGCTCATTAATTCGAATAAAGCAAGCAAAATTGTCAATTAGCTGGCTATAATGTTTGAGTAAATTGATGAAACGAAAACGACAGAGTTGTGCCACAAGGGATACATTTTCAAGTGCCATTCTCAACTGCTTGCACTGACTCATTGTACTGCTTGGTGCATTGACTCCAGAGCTTGCCTGCGTGCACTGCTTGCACTGACACATTGTACTGCTTGTGCATTGATTTACATTCGAAATAAGTAAAACACAGAACATAATTAGTAGCGTGGGGCTGGAAGCATATTTACAACTTTCGACTGTGCACAGCGCTTATTCGCTTTCCCTTTTGATCATTTAATTATGGCCTAATTAAAATTGGTCAAAAAGCGTTGACCATTATGGGCTATTAAAAAGCACACCCGTCAAACAAATAAAAGGGCTAAGAACTTTGAATAAAAGGGTCGCTGACTGCTTGGTCAAAAAAAAAAAAAAAGTAAAGGTTGTCGACAGGCAGCGTCTGTGGCATCGGCATCTCCATCTCCATCGCCACCGCCGATTCATCAGCTTCATGGCCAAAGCATTTCATTCATTGAAGCATCCTTACCGGGCCCCAAGTATCCCGGGCAGACTGCTCCTCAGGTAGGTGCTCGCAGGAGCACTGCGTGTGCTTTGAATAATTAAACCGGAGCATTTCGCTTTCAATTAAGATGTCGACAGCAGTCCGAATCAGATGCTTGTGGGCCTTGTGCCCAAAGGACAACCCAAAAGTGCTCTTGTCCTGTCCGGCCCAGCCATGCCCTGTGCTTCTGTGTATCTTTAGAGCCAAGTCCAGCTGAAGATTCGTCAGACTGCAGGCTGTTTGCAAAAACAGTTTCATTACCCAATTTTCGCCCTTGGATGCCATTTCCAGGTGCCGAAATTTCGGATTTCGTTTGCAAATTTCCCACCCTCCTCCGGGTCATGCATAATTAATTGCTTTTCACGCATAACGATAATAGAATTTAATTTGCTCGCTAATGCAAGTTCGCCATTCCAAATATTTGTTTTGTTTTGCATATTTTGTTCTCACTTTTTGCTGTTGCTTTGGCTGCTGCTGCTGCTACTCTTGGCTGTTTTCTGTTTGCATTTTCTATGGCAAAATCAATACCCGTTCATCATTTTCACATCAGTCAGTCAGCGCGCAAGACCTTGGCATCGACTTGAATGCAAATACCAGTTAAGAATGAGTACGAGTATGGGGAGGTTCTGGGCGAAAGCGCTTCACCCTCGACATGCAACCTTCTCAAAAGTCAAATAACAAAAAAAAAAGAAAAAGCGGCTTAAGTGCCAGGCAGGCCCCTCATGGCATTCCGCTTCCAATTTGTTCCAAGTTTATAATACGTATTTTATTGGGCGAACGGCTCGCTGGCTGGACGGGGATCTTGTGCTAAAAATAAAACAACCTTTGAGCTACTTAATGCAATGCGAAGAGGCTGAGAGCGTGGGTATAGCATTGACCATCATTCAGTTTCATTCAGGGGCTTTAACTCGACACAACTCTTGGCATTCGGCTGCAGACACAAAGCACTCCCCCACCTGCAGCCAAGGTGGGGCGGGGAGCTTTATAGAATTTCCAAACACAACCGCACAGCCACTGGGGCTACGTTCTACTTCTCGGAGTCTGGCTTTAGCGCTGGCTCTACCTGCAGACAACCATAGACAAAAGCTAAAACGTAAAGGGGGAAACACTTTCAAGTACTTAGTAAGTTACTTACTCCTGGAGCCCACACCAACACCCACACGTACCTGAAGCTTGTTTGCTGCTTGTTTATTTCAGCCCTTGCCCCAGAACACAGCACAGCACTGGAGTGTTGAAAAGTGTCTTAAACACACTTCCACACCCCCAAAAAGGTAGCAGACTGCTACAGTAATCATAGCAACAGCCAATTGGGATTATACCAGAGAGAGAGAGACAGAGAGTATCATAGCCAAATGTGTACTGGAGCTGCCACAAATGGGAATGCAGTTAGATGCATTGATAATTGCAGCATGAGCTGAGTGAGCGCTCAACCGAGGGCCAGGGGCTGGCTCAAGAGCCATAAATAACGAGAGCCAGAAAAAAGAGAAAGCGAAGCGAAGCTGTCAACTCCATGTTGAGCTCTGCTAAGTCAGCATTATCACCAGACAACATCCTCCTCGCCTCGTCGTCATTAGGCGACTTTTGAGCCGTGACATGACCTTGGACATTGTCTGGCTGGAGGGAAGCGATGGGCGCTGACAAATGCTGTTGACATTTACAAATGAGGCCCACAAGCGAATTAATGAGCCACGACCAATTAGCGAGCGAGTCACATAAGGGAGCCATGACTGTGGCTTGTCGCTTGCAGAAAGTATATCCCATAAGTAGATCTGGGTCCCGGGGGCTAAGTATCTGCTCTGAATACTGCTGCTGCTGCTGCTCGCCGGCTAATGTATTGGTAAATCCAATTGAAGGCAGCGTTGTAACATTTCTGCTCTTAAAGGCACATTTTAATTAATATTTCTCAGAGAGACAGAGAGAGAGAGAGAGAGAAAGAGGGGGCGGAAGGTCACCTCCGCGTGTACTCTTGGCAGAAATCTTGAATGTAATTTTCTCGTTTACTCATTTTCCGCACCCACATTGCTCTCCACGGCTGGCAGAAGCGGAGGTGTGGCAGAAGGGGGCAGGCAATGTGGGTACGTGGGCACAGACAATAGCCGGGCAGCCGCGCAGCGCACTTGAGCGCAGCTTGAAGGCGGCTGCGCCTATAAGTATGCACTTGTAACGAGTCAGTCCGCCCGCCTGGCACAGCCTCCTACGTGAAAGTGAGCCGAGCCCTACCCCACAACTCTCGAGGTGGCTATAAAAATAGGAATGACAGGCCGCCGCCGCCGTCGCCGCCGTCGCCGCCAACGTATTAAAAATGAGAGAAAGGCAATCCGGGGTGTTCGCTCCACTGAGCCACTTTCGTTTTCGCTTTCCGGTGCACTGCTTGAAATCCTGCACCAGCCAGGATGATTATATTATATTTCAGCATACATATGTATGTACATGGTGTACATAATTGATGCCGTAAATGGGGTTTTGCTCAACGACTTTATCCTACATTAAAGAACTTTTTTCATCCATTTTAAATGCAATTTCCTGTCGGCCTTGCCGCATAAATTGCATTTTTTTTTTGTAGTGTCCAAACTATTATCCGATGCGTCTCTCTTGTGTCTCTTGCAGAATATTTAAGACAACGGGGCAGCGGGTGCAGGAGGATGTCAACCTGCTGCATGCCTCTGTGCTATCGATGGTGGAGTTTGACGATGATATATTCGCGGCCGGAAATTGCTTCGATTGGAACGAACATCCCGCACAGCCGGGCCTCTTCTGTCCGTTTGCCTACCGCCTGCCACCGCCGAATCTGGGCGCCATCTTTGCCAAGGATCTGGCCATGGAATATCACTATCTGGGCAATACCTCCGAGTGGTTCTTTCTGGCCCGCAAGAATGCCGAAAAGGTGATAGCACGCAATGAGCAGTATCTAAAATGTAAGTACCAGAAAGCCATATAAAAATGTCCTACGACTGTGCCCCTCCACTGATTTATGCCACGGACAGTCTTCTGTCTTATTTATGGGTGCCACGCAGATAGCGCGGAGACAACGCCCACTGCCTTATGCCTTTTGTGCGACATGTACACAATTTATATGTATATATGGCATTGAATATTTATACATTTTCGGGTAGCTTTAATCTCCAACTTCATTAGTCACTGGCCCCCAAAACTCTAGCCCTAAGGGGCTGCTGCCTAATTGCGTTGCCAGTTGGGAGAGGCATATTTCACCATGTTTTATCATCAGCAAGAGTCCTCCCAACAATTAAGCGTATAAATAAAACGAAAGTGTGTCTGCCCCACGCGAATTCAAAAGTTCCATTTGCAATGTAGAAATGGAAATTGCCCTGCCACCGAATCTCACATTCCGCTGTTAATTAGCTGCGATGGCCAGGAGCAGGGCCAGGACCTACGTTCGCCTCACCGATTACATCTAATCCCATCACACGGTTGGTCCATTCGACTTGACCCCGGCAAAGCTGTTACACTGACAGGGACAGTGATGCGTGTAAGCTAATTTTATGCAAGAGTTGTCGCTCCACCTTCACTGACATCAACTCAACCTCAACCCAGAAGCCTCAGCTTCATCCTCATCATAGCTGTAGCCATAGCCATAGCCATAGCCATAGCCATAGCCCTGCAGCGTGGGATCGAGTTTGTCAGCCCGTCTGCTGTTGTGCGTCTTGAAATTTGTCTTGTCTGGTGACTGAAGTTTCCCTGGATTATCCTCCAGTATTCAAAGTTTAACAAGCAAAGTTTTTGCTGTGCAGCGAAAAGTGATTACAAACAACACACAAACAATTTAATGTCGTTGAATTAGTTTTAATGATGTCAACTTATCCTCACACCCACCTTCTGTGCCGCTCAACTTTCCCCTGTTTGATTGCATAATTTCACACTCCGACACCAAAGTGTGTTGATCAAGCAAAGGGGGGAGCGTAAAGAGTTAAATGCACTTTAACAATATTTCATTTGCAAAATGAAAGGCAACGGCTGCATCGATTGCCCCTCATCGTGTCCTGTTTGTGTTTGTTATGCGGGCATGCAAATTATTTGTTTGTTTGCCTGCCCGCCGCTAATACACACTAAATGCCGCATGAGTATTTCGTATTTTGGTATTGGAATGCGGCAAACGACACGGGCCACGGGCCACGGGCAAAGCCACAGAGAAACAATTGCATGGCGGAAGGCTATGCAGGAATTTAGCTGCGAAAATCCACCCACATATGTATGTCGAGCGTCCACACAGTCGAACAACTGGACAGAGGGACAGACTGACAGAAGAACAGATTGGCACAGCAAAGAGGGGACACGCTGTGGTAATGGCAGTGCAGAAAAATGGAATCGAAAGCAAACAAACAGCTCGAACAGAGAGAGAGGCCTGGGTTTGCCTTTAGACCAGTGGCCCCTGCATACTAATAGCTGGTATAGTTTTAGGGTACCCAGAGCTGATTGCAGGCTGGCAGCCAACTATTTGCCATACCACTCGTACAAACATCAAAGATCGTCGTCGGTTTGCCCCCCCGGCACAGCCCATTTGTTTGTCTGGCCCAAAATTGAAGAGACAAAAGTGGAAAAGTGAAAGGCAAGAGAGAAAAAAAACCAATTCAGAACTGGGCAAACAATATTTGTGGCTCAAACAATGCACTAAAGGCAGTGGCAATTTCGGTCAGCAGCATTTATCTATTGGTCGCCATGCACACACGGCCAAAACTTTCTCAGAGTGTGAAATGCGCCGTAATGTGTGTGCGCGTGTGTGTGTCTATGTGTGTGTGTGCCGTGAACTATGATTTATGGCCTGCTGAAATACACTCTCGAGCTCGCGCTGCAAGGCCGCACACGCCGTTCGCTGCCTTTCAATTTATGTGTGCATTTGCATATTTGCGTATTCGCCTTTGGCTTTATAGTTTGTCCGCAAAAACTTTACCCTCGCTGCAGAACTTGCGACTTGCAACTGCCACTGCCACTGCCACTGCCACTGTCGCTCCTTGAGCTGTTGCAAGCTTGAGCCAATGCGATACCCGTTACCCGTTACCCGTTACCCGGAACGCTGATTAAATTTGCAACATTTTTTTGTTCTCCGTGGTGGCAAGGACAAGGCCACGGCAGGGGCCGCACACCGCAACCGATTTGCCGCCAATTCAAGTGCTATTAATTTGATTAAATTGTACATACACATACCCAGACATATGTACACATAGGTGTGCTCACGCTGCCTGAGTGCAAATTTGACTGATTACCTACTCATTGCATAATTAATAATATTTATGCCACTTGAACACACCAAATGGCCGCACAACCAATGCCGTAACGAGTGCATTAAGTAGCCTTTTCAATTTCATTATTGTGTTTAAATATATTATATAAGAAATAATGATACTCATACTCTGGAGTATGATTTAAGCTGAATTCATATTTTTAAACTACATAAAAAGCACAAGCAACTAGGAAGCTTGAAGCTGTAAGGACACAGTTTTGTTTTGTTGAACTCTACATGCCCCCAAGAGCACTCTCCGAGTGTGTATATGTTTTGTATCTGTGATGACGCGTGTGTGTGGCACGTACAATACGGAGCAGCATAACCGCAGAAATATGTCATAATATTTGCTTTTTACTCGTCGAATAGATTTCATTCCCTTTCCGTAGTTGTTATGGCTGAGCGAAGCGATTTATATTATTACACGACGCTGCGACGAGTGTCTGTGTGGGTTGGGTGCTGGGTGCCTTTCTCTTTTTGCTGTTTACAAGTCACGTGTTTAACATAAAATTTAAATAAAAACCTCATGCAATATGTAAACATTTATATGTACTTCCTGTGTGTGTCTACTGTCCTCTGGCGGCGTCTGGCTGTTTGTAATTTCCCAAACTCCAAACTCCACATTGCCATTACCATTTACCAACTAAATCAGGCAAAATCTTGTGGCGGATAAGCCCCAACATATACCAATTTTATGCAAATCGCAGAATCTCCTTTTTTTTTCCGTTACAAGTGCGGAATAATTCAGGATAATAACGTGAAACTTTGCTCCTACTGAAACTTCTCCGCCAGATTCATTTGCCGCACTATCGTGATAATGCTGAAAGCAAATTTAGCCACCTACAAACGAGGGCCAAGAGGAGTCACTTTGAGTATCGAGCGCTCGAAGCGCTCTCTGTTCAAACTTACGCTTATGTTGCTGCTCATGGAAATGGGAACGATGCCACCGGCTATGAAGATAATCGGCTGCTGGACATTGTGCAGGAAGTGGATCAGGGTGGCCTTGTAGCGCGGCTCGGCGTCCACCCAATTGGATTGGAAAATTGTGTTGGCCAGATCATCGCCGTCATCGATGAGCAAGTTGCATGTGTAGCAGAAGGGAAATGTCTGCAAAAGGATAGTAATGACAAACAGAAAGGAGGCCACGCCCTTCCAAAAGTTCGAAAAGAAGAACACATTGATGAGCGTGAGTCCCAGCACGGATCCAATCAGCGCAAATTGCACAAAGATTGTGCGGGATATCATTGGGCGGACCATGTCGCAGCATCTGCAATGCAATCGATCTGCAAACGATCTCCCTCTAGGGCCCATACTGTGGCTCTTACCTCAGTATTATCTTGTGATCAATCACACAATTGACCAGATCCTCATAGTTTTGCTGTTCACTTTTGTCGGGATCCATGCGCAGACTCCTCACATGTTCCTTCAGCACGTCCATGTGCGCCCGAAAGATGGTGATGAACATCAGGGGATACGTGTCGGACAGCTGGTCCTGCAGCACGGCAAAGGACATGGTGATGTACTCGAAGATGGCCTGTATCCACAGACTGCCCAGCCCGTCGCGCCAATCGACAAACGGATTGTACACGGACCAAGGCGGATGGCCGCCCAGCGTGTACGAGAGGAACGTGGAGCCCGCATAGCCGCAGTAGATGAAGCTGTAGATGAGGAAAGCGTAGTTGCTGCGTGCCACCATGTCGTGGATCTTCTGGCGATCGCTATCGGTCTGCAGGCGCCTGTCCAGCGTGTCCAGCAGCTGCTCCGTCTTGCGCAGCCGCCAGAGGAACGCATACGTGATGGTTGACTTCACCGATGCCCCATACACATTGATGCACACCTGCAGCGATGTGAGAAACTCGCCGGGCGTAAAGTTGCGGAACTCCTTCACGTAGCTAATGATAAATCCCACCGGCAAGTAAAACACACCAAAGGCAAAGGGCACGCAGGTCCAGAAGAGGTAGACATATCGGAGCAGCCCCGCCTTGGGCGGTATCCAACCGATGAGCCACATGGCGCGGTACAAATAAATGTTCGCCTCGCGGGACTTGACATTCTGCGTCAGCGGTGCCGGATTTATCAGCTCAAACAACACCATTTCCAGTCAGTCGGTGTTCTGTTCTGTTCTGTTGTCTGCTTGTCTGTTTTATAGCCCCACAACCATTGGACAGGTGCTCGCGGTTCACTCTGACAGACACGCCCCGGCACCCAGCCAGCACCTGGTTGGTCGGCGGGGCCTGTAATTAGACCAAACAATCGGCCAGGTAAAGTGCCAACAATGATTTATTATTAAAGTGCAACTAAACCTGCCAACAGCAAACAGGCAACAGCCAATTAGCTGGAATTGGTTAATAAATGAATCCGTTTGCAGCGTAAATCTTTGATGACTACAAAATGGGTAATGAAAACCCGTTGAAAGCTAGTGGAAAATATTGTTCTGCAACCTTTAAATGGATTCCTTTCGAAACCTCTCCGCCAGATTCATTTGATTGACAATCGTAATGATGCTGAACGCAAACTTGGCCACCGTTATGTTGCTCTGCACGGATATGGGAAAGATGGCCCCGGCCCAGAATTGGATGGGCTGCTGCACCCTGTGCAGAAAGTAAATAATTGCCGACTTGTAGCGCCCCTCCGCGTCCACCCAGTGGGAGTGAAAGATGGCAAAGGCGAGCGATTCGCAGTCCGCGATCAACAGTTCGCAGGTCATGCAGAGCGGAAAGGACTCGGTGCAAATGGCAGCGATGAAGATGACATTCGACATGGCCATGCCCAAGCTGGTGGTGAAGAAGAGAATGTTGACGGCTGCCAGACCCACGAGGATGCCAATCAGCATAAACTGCGCAAAGATGGTGGCCGACAGCGTGGGTCTAATAAGTTCACAGCAGCTGCAAGGAAAGAGCACCAATAAAGGATAAACTCTCCCGGGAAGTTCTCTCTCTCTCTCTCTCTCTGTGCGCTTACTGCAGTATTGTGCGATAATCCTTGATGCAGTCCACCAGCTGCTGATAGTTCTGCCGCTCCGAGAGCTCGGGGTTGCAGCGCAGATGCGCCATGCGATCTTTGAGTATGGCCAAATGTGCACGGAACATGGAGAGAAAAACAATCGGATAGGTGTCCGACAGCAGCTCCTGCGTGATGGCAATGCCAATCACAAAATACTCAAAGAGCGAGGCCAGCCACAACTGGCGCGTGCCCTGACGCCAGTCCACCAGCGGATTGTACAGCTGCCATGGGGCCTGTCCAGCGTACAGCGAGGCGAACAGCGTCGTGGTGGTGAACCCAACGTACACGCTGAGAAAGAACATAATAATGAGATTCGCACGGGCCACCATCGTGTGGAGTATCTGGCGCTGATTCAGCGTCACACAACGCTCATCCAGTGGGGCAATCATTTCATTGATCCGCCGCATGCGCCACATCTGCGAGTAGGTGACGCACGCCTTGATCACATTCCCAATACAATTGATGTCCACCTGCACCGAGGAGAGGAACTCGCTGGGCCCGAACATGTCGAAGTGCACCGCAAAGGTGAGTGTGAGTCCCAGTGGCAGATACAACAGCCCGAGCAGCATGGTGGTGCAGGTCCATAGAGAGTAAGCCCAACGTTGCACTTGGCCCAGTCCCTCAGGCTGCACCCAGCCCAAAAAGGTTGCCGCCCGATAAAAGTAAACGCAGGCGTCCACAGAGGCAACTCTCGCGGTGAGTGGTGCCGCTCGCAGGCGCTCAAAGAGCGGTTTCTGCATGTTTTGAAGTTCAAGTTACAACCGCCAAGGGTCTTATATACGTGTAGGAGAACGCACATTCCTGATGGCTTTTTAATGAATGGCAATTTTTGGTTTATTTATTGGACACACGGCTCGATGTCTCAATCGGGGTGCACTGTTTGCGTTTATAAAGTCATTAAGCAAGGCAGCCCACAGGGCGGAGTGGGGAGTAGCTCTAATTACAGCTTGCATAAGGGATAACGCTTACTAAGTATTCCTTTGCTCTTTCCTTTGTTGCAGCCTTCCATCTGTACTCGAATCGCACCGAGGAGCGCATCGAGGATGATACTTTGGCGGTTAAATATGAGGATGGAAGATGGTCGAAGCCGTATTACGATTGCGGTGGTGGCAACATTTGGATGCTAACCTACACGGTGCCATTCTTTGGCTATGAGAATGGCAGCTATCACTTCAAGTAAGTAAGCCACCCCCCAAAACAATGGACAGTGACTGCCAAATGGCTGCACATGGCTATAAACAATTCACAGCCAAGTGGAATTTGAAAAGGAAACTGCATTGGCCCGAAAAGTGCCACCCGAGCGAGTGCTTCCCCAGGACGAGACAATGCCGTAGAAACTATGATGAAGCGACAGCGTCAGCTTTCTGGCTTTTGTCTGTTGTAAGAGGAGCAGTGTGAGGAGTATGAGGCGGGCACTGACACTGTAAATAGCAAAAGTAATTCAATAGCTGAATGACTGTTTTTACTCAGCTTGGCTGTTCGGTTTTGCTCCCGTCTGCCCGTCGCACGTGCAATCTGCTTTAAGTTTTGGTATTTTTTTTGTTTCCTTCATCGAACCATCGAAGGACTTCAGGGACTGATAGCAAATTTCACTCACGCACCGCTCCAAATGGAATACGTTCAAAGAGTGCACCACATTCTTATGAAACTTAATCGCGTGCGTTTTTTTTCCCACTCTCTCTCTCTCTCTCTCTCCTCCTTTGATTCTTTTCATCATCTACTTTATTTGAAGTAATTTTCCATTTTTTTTTTTCTCACTTTTAACATAGTTTCCTGCCTGCGCTCCCTTGCTGACTTTTTATGTTTGGGGCCAACTTTTTCAATTGAATGTGGAAATGGTTCCAAAGTTGGCTGGCGGAACTCTCTGCCAAAAGAAAGCACAAGTGAAGAAATCGTTGAGCAAGTTATGGTAGTTTGATGGGAAATTCATTCGCGATGAATGCTTCCCGGCGCATGGCCGTGCTCCTGCTCCTGCTCCTGCTCCTGCTCCTCTGCGTCTCTGTGTTTTGAGAATATTTAATTAACTTCCCGCTTGGCAAGGGATCTCTGTCTGTATTTTTATTTTCTTTCATTCAATTTGTTAAATCTCTTTATTAGAAAATGCTTCAAATGTACAGCCAAAGCGGCTTATGGGTTCGCCACTTTTTTGGCTTTGACAAATTACCGACAGGCCGGGAGTGAGGCTCGTTCCATCAGCATAATGACAACAGCTTCTACTTGTGGCTGCCACTCAGGCTCGTTCTCCCAACGATTAGTCGTCACTCAGCATTGTTGTCAGCGCTGATTCCACTGCCACTTCCACTCTACTACATCCATAATTTCAATTATCGCTTGGCTTGAGAGCAGCCAGAACCCAGAAGACTGACAACGGACAGCAGTGTGCGTCTGGCAACAGCAAAAGAGAAGGCAACAAAACATTTTGGCCAGCCAACTATTTTCACTTAGTGGCCAAGTACTTTTGCGGCTGCTGCTGCCTTGGGTTGGGTATTTGTTGGCTTAAAGTCTTGCTGCACTTTGATGGAGTAGAACTTGGGTGTAGCTATTTATTCAATATAAACAAATCTTCACGCTCCACCATATAACGCTCGTAGGCTTCGGTTGTGGCCTCGCCCTTCTGCGGCGGCTTGTAGCAGTAGCAGGGATACACCATTCGCACCTCCCTCCATTCGGGCGTGGCCCCCGGCACGGCAGTTGTGGTGAAGCGGAATCTCTGGCGCCCTGCAAGTGGCTGCCCTCCAGCAGCGAATTAAAATCTCCAACAGACCACAACTACTCACATTTCGAATGGTAGTATTGCTCCTGCCACCAGGACAAGGACTTGCGGCGCTTCAACCTTTTATCGGCGTCGAGCAGTGCAGCTGCTGCCAGCGAGCAGACAAGAATTAGCTCGATGAATAGCATATCCCCACTGAACACTTTCGATCACGCAGCTGGCTGTCACGCTGCCTGACAGTGGCCTGTCCAATGCATTCGATTGGATATGATGCCGAAATATACGTACTTAGCGAGCGTTAAAAATGTAATTACACGGCCCTCCCGTTGGGCTCTCAGGTGGGTGGGCAGACAGCAGAGAGCAGTGCTCCAAATTGAATTAGAGCAATCAATTATAAAAGTTTTCCTCTCACACATCCGCTCACACATAGTACGCCTATTTAACGCTCAATGACTCTCTACGCTCAATAAATTTCACATGCAGCAGGGCGAGTAAAGGGGCATGGCTCTTTGAGCACGCCCACTATCTGGCGGCGCCACTGTCGATGTCGGAAGCTCGGCAACTGCCTGCAATTAGTGCAACATAAATTTGGTCTGCCGGCCTGGCCCTAATGGACGGATGCGCACAGTGGGGATGCGGCAAACAATTCGGCACAAATATTCAAGTCACTTCAATGTGCCACACCAACAGTGAAGAAATTGGGCTGAAAGATACTCGTTTAAAGTATTCTTTAGTTGAAACTGCCAGTGTATAATCATCAGCTATCAATTTAAATACGTTCCATTAGGTTTGACCCACGCGCGTCCACTGTGTGTGCTGGGGAGGAAAATTAATGTGCAAATGTTAAAAGTTCGTTAGTTGAGTTCATTTGTGTGTGCAGCTGTTAGATGCAGTCTCTGGGCTCCTCGTCAAACAAAGCCCCTTTTGTTTCAACAGCTTAGACGGGAAGGAAGGACTGGGCGCAAAGTGGGCGGCATAAAAATTTGCTCCAGCGCAGGGTAAAAGTTTTATGGCTGGACCGGACCGGGTAGCGGCATCCTTTTGCCGACTCCCCAAGTCGTGTGTATCCATGTCCGTGTCCGGCTCATGTTAATAATGTTCTGCTATCAGTTTCCCATTAGTTGCTGGGAAATTAATTTGTTTACGTGCCAGCGGAAGCGCAAAAAAGGAAAGAAAGGATGCGAAAAAATAAATAAAGCGAGAGGAGCGTGAAAACTTTTGCTAATTGATTTAATTTCTGCCTCTCCATGCAGAACAAACTCACATTTGAGGTGCAGAACGTTAAGCATAGTTAAAGTTAATTTTATAATAAATTATTTGGCCAAACGAAATGGCCCACAAATCACATTAGGCGCCCGCTGTGAGCAAACGCCAAGGACAGGACAGGACAGGCCTCCCCGCTGGGGCAATAATTTTATTTGATTTCATTTAAGTTTCGCTTACAGCACAGCACAGCAGAGCACAGCACAGCAGAGCACAGCACACAGTAAAGTTTCAATATTAAAACGGAGACTTAGAGGGGAATGACAAAGCTGTAGAATGTGTAAGCCGTAATCCTGGCATTGTATTTATTTGACTTATGCTGCAATATCGCCTGCCATTGCCAGTGCCTGCCCCATCCATCCAGATAGGTCTACTGTGTGTGTGTGTACATACGGGCATGTGGCATGCCCGGCTCTTGGGCAAAGCATAATGAGGCAAACGGAAACGGAAATATCAAATATCAGGCAATAAGCATGACTTGTGTGGCAGTGGCTGCTGCTGCTGCTGCTGCTGCTGCTGCTTGTTATCTTGTTGCAACTTCAGCTGCTGAATGTGGACTTGATTAGGAATGCTTCTGCAGCATGTGTGCATCTGTCCTGCCCCCACTGCTGTGTATTTCTTATGAAACAGTCGACGGAGACACGAAATCACATAGTTACCATATCGCCCCTTCCAATAGCTGCTGCTCAAAGTTTGTTTACAAAAATTGCTATGCTGCGGCTAAAATGAATGGAATCCTTTTGATGAATCAGGGTTCCGCTTTGAGCTGAAATATTTGTGACCACCACATTAAAGTCAACAAAGTTTGAGCTTAAATTGAAGTCACAAATTGTGGCTTAAACCCTTTGCCCCCCCCCCCACCAACTATAGTTGCAAATATTTTTGACATAATTTCGGGGCCCATTTCGGTGGCATTTTCGGCTGCGCAGGCCTACGCTTTTATGAGCCGCCGCCACATACTCTGCAAACTACAAAACTGATTATGTGCATTAGCAGCAGGCGACAAACGTGTACCAAAAATTGCCGTATGGCGTATGGCGTATGGCGTGTGCGTGTGCGTATACGTAATGCCACACAAATGAGTTGTTTACAAACTGGTTACTAAACTGAGTGCGTGACGGAATACACGCCCATACTCGATATGCTTTTACCAGTTATAGCTCGAAAATGGAGCAGCACAACTCCAGGGGGAGCGGGGATCTGCATGCCATCTGTATTAGCTGACATCGCTGCCACTTTTAAATAGCTGGCACGTGCATGTGTGGAGTGGTGCTCCCCGTATCGGAGACAGCTCCAAAGCTCTTCTCAGATGCACTTCCACTTATACACGTAATGCGTTTTGTGTTTGTGTTTGTGTTTGTGTCTGTTCGTGCGTGTGCTACGTGCTCTGCATGTGCAATCCACTGATTTTACACCTAATGCGTAGTCCCACCATCCAGCATATGGATGTTCTCCCCACTCCCCAATATTTGTCTTTTAGACTTTAACTAAAGATTCGAGCATTTGTTTCAAATCTATTAAGTTATGCCAACATTTTTGCCATCCTCTAGAAAAATCAACAGGCAGCAGCCCAAAACCTAAGCCCCAGCGACTATTTGCAGTGAGAGTGAGCCAAAAAATATGCAAACAACTGCGTTTACGGCTCATTTGCAGGCATTAGGCATTGTGTTGGGTTCTCCCTGTGTGTGTGTGTGTGTAAATCATGGATATACAGCGGATGGGCAAACATCCTGCCGTCTGGCAGCTTAAGGCGCAAAAACTAATAAATCAATATGCGACACGCACAGATATTGTCGCACAGACCAAGCAAGGCAAGCTCAATCAGCTTATTTTCTAATATCCGTTTACAAATTATCTTCAAAAACTGTCAGCAACAACAAGGACAGCGTGAGTGAGGGAAAATGCCAGGAAAATACGACCACAGAAAATGGGAAATGGCATTCGAATACGAAACTTTATCCATAAAGGAAATAAGAGAGACACACAGAGGGACAGCAAGTCAAAAGAAGAAAGAAAAAGGCCAAGCCGGATCTGGGTGCAGCAGATAAAGGCGCTGGGATCAACTGCTGGGGAATTAACATAATCATTACTATAATGTAATGATGGGCCATTCTACAGGCTCCAGTCGAAGGCAGTCGGCAGCAGTATTCCCTTTTCGCTGTGTGGCGTTTTCTTTCCCCTTTTCTTTGCAATCAATAAGTTGTCAGAAACAATCAAATAAATACAAACTGATATGTCAATATTAACTGACAGTCACATGAACCCTCCCGGACACGCACCCAAAAAGGAGATGAAAACCTAGACCGAACCCAGACCGTGCACAATATGCCGGGAACCCTTAGACCCCAGCCAACTGCCAGGGACACACAAGCACAAATGGGGAATTTGCAGAGGAAACCAAAATGTTTGGCCTTAGCCGTGCCTTTGGGTGTTACGCGCGGGCAATACCGTAGAAAGCGTTTGTGGAAGATCCTTTGTAAGGTTCCTGCAGAGAATTTACCAAATAAAACACAAACTGATCATGCCCAATCCTTTGCATGCCACCAAAAGTTTCCTTTGACGTCAGTTCAGCGCAACAGAGGGACACCAGGCACAGCACCGTCTCCGGCGTGAAAATGGCGCACAATGCTGAGATTATGCGTAAAGTTGTACATGTGTTCCGGCTGCCTGGCAGCCTGGCTGCCAGCCTACTCCCTTTACAATTCTGCTTAGGTATGCGTGTAATTGGGTGGCTGTCCTTTCGCAGGGGGCAACCTTTGAGGCAGGCATATAGGATTTCAGGCAGCGACGACAGCTTAGTGCACCCTTTTCATGGCTTTATGTCTTAGTAAAACGACGAGCAGGCAGGCCCCCCATTGCCATTGCCATTGACCATTCAACGACAAGCAGGAAAATAATTTTCTGCTATTTTTGGCCTGAGCTCGTTTTCAATACAAAGGAAACCGTAACCAAAACATGCTTCCTCTGCTGGTTTATCCCCTGGGCACGGCTAATGTGTGGGGGGGTTCCTGGGGCCTAGTCTCCACAGACATATGCGCAATCAAAGCAAGAATTTATTGTTTGTTATCGAGTTGGGCAGAACAAAAAACCCCACCCACAGGCAGCTGCTTGATATAGCAATGCTAGTAATATGAATAGAACTCTCAGGGGACTTGCCAGGTCTAGATGCTATACACACACACACACACATTTTGATTGAATTGAGTTTTATAAATGGCGCCATTTGGTTTAAGTGCCGCCGCCCAGTTGATTGTTAAACTGACAAATTAATAACATACATTTTTAACGCCTTTTGCTAACTCTCTCTCTTCCTTTTTGGCACACTCTCTTTACTGCTCGTTGCGCTCCATTTCGTAGGGGAACATCTGGCATTGATATTGACTTGCGGCGCGTGGACATCGACCAGTGCCCGCAGCGCCACACGCCCGGCACCAAGCGGCCCCTAAATATCTTTGCCGGCACCGACAAGTGCAAGCAGCGCACCACAATGGTGAGAAAGAAACTCCCGGAGTCAGCACAAAATTGTAATTCATTTCTTCCTTCTGTCTCGGTGTGCAGTGCGAGGCCATCATGGGTCTGGGCTTTCGTCGCGGCTCCTACAAATGCCTCTGCCGCAAGGGATTCTACTTCCCCGATGTGGTCTCGCTCCACAAGTTCTTCAATGGCAGCCTGCTGGAGGAGGAATACGAAAAGCTGATGCTGGTAAGTGTGCTGCTGACGCAAGACTGAACACTCAACACTCAAGTGCTGATGCTGAGCGAAATTCGCACTCATTAAATGTGTGTTTAGGGCAAGAATTCAACGTACAACAGCAACAGCGAGTACGAGTGTCTGCCCTGTGCCGAGGGCTGTGACTCCTGCGAGGACTCGTCGCCCTGCATTGCTGCCCTCAACTGGCCGATGCGCACCAGCATCCTGGCACTGGCATGCATTGTCATTGGCCTGCTGCCGCCTGCAGCCTGGTTTACCTTTCGCTATCAGCAAGTTAAGGTGAGTAATCAGTCTCCAAACACACAGAATCTGAATCTGAAATAACAGCAAACTTTTCACGATAATCAGTAATGGGAAATCATTATAATAGCATTATTCTCCGTCAAATTCCTTCAGCGCTGCTGTCAGCGTTGTGGCCACCCCACTAAGCGGCTTAGCATTGTTAGATTTCAGCTAATTTTGTACGTGCGGCCAGGGATGACTCGTCCTGTAACGGACAACGGAAATTGTCGCTCATAAGCGGAAGTGCAAACATCCACACAACTGTCGACCGACTTCCGTCGCGAGACAGACAGAGACTAAAGCCGAAAGCCGAAAGCCTCGCCATGTACAGTTCACTCGAGTGTCACTCGGACGCTCATTAAGCCCGTGAACAAGCTCAGGCATCAGAAGTTCGTCCAATTGTCTGCTGACTTGGTTTGGCTTTGAACCATTTGCAGCTTTCTCTTGTCATTCTACAGAACGACACTGGGAGTAATAATGTTCGGCCTGGGCAAAGTGAGTTATTCAGCGTCCACACACACCCCCAAGTTGCTGTCAGACATTTGTGTGCCCACGGCCAGTGGGTCTTACACCTACACACTCCAGCCCGAAGCCCACAGCTCCCAGTGCACTCCAGGCCAACTCTCGTGCCACTTGCTAGCGTCCCAAGGCAACTAGCCAACTAAACTGTTTTCATTCCTAATGCGATTCAGTCGCATTTGTCGCTTGTTCTCTCTCTTTGGCTGCTTCTCTCTGTGTGAGTCTGAGTGTGCTCGAGTGTGTGTGTGTGTGTGTGTCCAAACTAATTAAATGGCGCTAAAAATGCCGCTCGACAGTTTGCCAAGTGTGAGGACAACTCGACTCCGTCTCGGCACTCGGCACTCGGCTCTCGGCACTACTTTGTTGTCCATTGTTCTTGTCGGTTCTGCTACGGCTTGGCTCCTTCTCTTGTGAAATTGTGCGGCTAAGTTCACACACACACACATACACAGCTGCACACACTACTACACATAAGTTATTCGCTTGCAGGACTAATTGAAAATATTTTTGCTTGCAGGTTGTACGTGCCGCCAGTCCCGCTCTGTTGCGGGTCATTGCATTGGGCGCCTTCTGCATTTATTGCACGGTAAGCACCACCAAAGTGGAAATTCAGGCATAACTTGATAGTTTAATTATCGCTGGAAACATTCGCCAACAAGGCGGAAATATCTGTTGCACATTATGGGGGCACCAGCGTGGGTCCACGGGACTTTTCGACGCGAATTATTCACAAAGAGAAACCCATAAATCGGCACCAACAAAAATAAAATGGCAGTTATTCATTCCGTAAAAAGACAAATGAGAATGAGCAAACGATTGGCAGACAGACAGGCAGGGGGGCAGGGAGGCAGGCAGTGAGGGAGAGAGAGCCCGTCCGCCGCTTGAACCCAATTCCCATCAATTTCTGAACAATTTAATTTGATTGATTTATGGCAAGTGTCGAATGCTAATGGAATACTACTACTGGCCAAAATAAACAACTTTCAACGAGAGTTCATCGAACGTCGACAAGGGGGCGACATGGTGGAAGCTGAGGATTTATTTATCTATTGCTGATTTATGCAGCCGCCACACACACACACATACAAAAGCTGTGTCCTAGAGACGAGGATATCTATTTTTCGACACTTTTTGTGTCTCTGTGTGTGTGCTTATGATTTTTCTTTGTTATTCTTTATGGATAAGCAAAAGGTGCAAGGCGTTATTGAATCATAATCATCGCCCTTGGCAACTTGACAACTTTTAAGCAGCATTTTAAATCATATTTTTAAAGCATGAATGCGGATTTATCCACTCAACCATTGAGTATCTTTTTGTGTCAATTGCAGAACATTGTGATGTATCCGAATCCGAATCTCTACACCTGCACCGCTCGCATCTGGCTGCGAGAGATTGGCTTCTCCCTCACCTACGGCGCTCTGATGCTTAAGACCTGGAGGTGAGTAAACGATGTGATTGTGACTGATGATATGTGAGAACTCTCTGGCCATGTTTGCCATTTTGTCACACAGAATATCGGTGATTTTTCGTGTACGCTCCGCCAAGGCTGTCAAAATCACCGACGCTGCCCTGCTGAAGCGTTTGGGCATCATTTGCGGCGCCATTGGCACCTGCCTGCTGGTGAGGACACTCGTATCGCCGCCAGATGTTGTTGTGGGACGCACCGCCGATGACTTGAAGGCGTTCCTATGCAAGACCGACTGGTGGGACTACACATTCACATCGAGTAAGTGCCGCTCCCGGCTCCCATCTATTGTCCATCATGGGGGAGCAATTTAATATGTCCGGACAAGAGCCACTGCTGATTGGCCAATAGCCACTTAGGAGCAACTCCAACCCGTTTCACAGAAAAAGCTTACAATGCGCGCGTTGCTCATACGCAGTGTGTGTGTGTGTGTGTGTGCGGCAACATATGAATTGTGCAAAAAAGGACAAGGGAAATGGAAAAGCAAAGCAAAAAGCGCACCACTGCCAACGGGCGACAGCTTATGGCCACTCCACTCTCTTCAAATTCACTGTACGCCACTCCCTGGGGAGGCTTAAAAGGCATTCCATTTGCATTCATCCACACACACTGTTGTGTGTTGTGTGTTGTGTGTGTTCCGGCCAAAGGCATATACGAGATATGAATATGCAGGCATCTTTTTTTGTTGCGTTGCCTTGTGGCCGGCATGTGTCCCCACCCCACATATGCAGCACCGAAGATGGATAAGAATGGGATTAAATGTACCTCCTGTATAGCTTGCAGCGCAGCAATGGCCTGACTGTGTGTTCGTTTCGTTTCGTTTCGTTTCGTTGCGCTTAATTACAAAAGTTTAGGGGGCCAACTTGAAGCACTTTCCATCTTTGCAGCCTCGGGCATGGACCGAGACTCTCTCGTATACAGACAACAATTATCGTTGAGTCTCGCGTTGCTGCGTCAGTCACGCACTTTGATGGCACACAGATGCTAAATAACTTGATTTGCTGTTGCTGCATGCTGCATGCTGCACAGAACGAGGGGGCACGTAGCGCGTATTACAATTTTTTAATTGCATGCAGCACGCTGCTGCATACCCTTGCTGAACGAGTTTATTGCTTAAAAAGTGCATGCTCATTTTTTTATGACTTTCCCTTGCTCTCGGGGGTCTCGTTCGCGTTGCATTTCACCCGCAGAGATCGTAGATTTCTCTTGCCATTCCGTGCCATTGGCTCGCTGAAGCTTTTAGCTCTGTTGCTCGAGCGGGGGACGGGGGAGTGGTGCAAAAAATAAAAATGATAACGTAATTACATTTCTCTTTGCTAATTAATGTACAAAAAGTGAGTTGCGATGCTATTGAAGCGCACAAAGGAACTAATCCCTGGCTTTGCTCTTTCCCTCTCTCTGTAGTGGAGGTGCTGTTCCTGGCCTGGGGCGTTCGACTGTGCATCATGGTGCGCAAGGCACCATCCGAGTTCAACGAAAGCCGCTTCATATCGATGGCCATCTACAATGAGTTCCTGCTCACCTGCTTCCTCAACGTTTCCATGTAAGCAAAACATTCACTTTGACTTTACAAACTCTATCTTTTCCAATTACTCTCTACCTCTGTACCGCTTCCTCTCTCTCTCTCTCTCTCTCTCTCTCTGTCTTTGTGTTATAGGCTGTTCCTGCAATCGCCGGCCAATCCGGATCTCCTGTACATCATCTTCTTCTGCCACACTCAACTGACGGTCACCCTGCTGCTGGCCCTCATCTTTGGCAGCAAGGTGAGTCTCCCTCCCTGCCACACCCTGCCACTTCTCCACCGTTCATTTCCCCTCTTGTGTGTGTTTCAACTTTTGTTTTGGCAGGTGTACATCGTGCTGCGTAGTGGCAAATCGCATCAGGAGAACATTGGCATGGGCACCAAGGCATCCGGTGCCAAATTCAATTTTCGTCCTCAAGTCCGCACCTTTGCCAATCCCAGTTCGATGACCACCACAACGGTGCCAGTGGCAGCAGGTGAGTCCACAGTCCAGCGATAGCCAACAATTGCCTCATTTGTGCGTCGTAATGGACAGACCATATCGACACTTGTGACAAACGACAGTGTCCACTTGACAAATGTTCAGCGCAGACAGAACGGCGAATTGGGGAAATGGAGACCTGCAGATGAAGTCCTTTGCTGCCTGGTCTCGAGCTTTATTTATGTCATATTATTTGGAAAAATTAAAAAATGAGCGAAACAGGCGGCAGCAGCAGCAGCAGCAGCATCACTTTCCCTTTTATCTCTAACGTCTAGACGCGAGCTGGGAGTGTGGAGTGACAGCGCCGGGAGTACATGTCCCTGGCCATATCTAGTGACAGCTTTGACTACTGATTTATGTGCTTTGGCTCGTACAATCTACAGTCTTAGCACCCAATCCTCTCTCCTTTTGTGGTTAACTTAAGGGATTCTCTGTGCTTCTGCTTGTCCATGTGTCTACGTGTGTGTGTGTGTGTGTGCTCGTGTGTTTTGCAAGGAAGGAAATAGCTACGAAGCACAAACTTCCGCCAAGCTGCCGCCGACGCCATATTTGTTTATCGCTTCGCTGGCTTTGATGTTCATATAAACAACTATGTGTACCATTTGTGGCGTCTCTCGCAGGGCAGTCAAGTGAGCCATCATCCAACAACGAGGAGAGCATGCTGGTGCCAGTCCAACTGGGCTGTGGGTAGTGTGTACTGGCGCCCTGCAGCTGCAGGTGTGGGTGGTGTATGGTGTGTGCTCTGTGCTCTGTGAGCCAATTAAGTTCCTGGCAAGTTTGACTTTAAAGTTATCTAGCCAACACAGCCACCATTTGAAGGCACTTCTGTGCTAAGGGGCAGTCATCGATTTTCGTTGCACAATCTCAACTTTTACCAAGAAATTCAGTGGAACAATTGATCAAAATTTTGGGTGAAAGGTACAGAAATTTGATTTTCATCAGAAAATTGTATGAAATTGTTTGCCATTCAAGCACAACCTAATGGACATTGAACATTGATTCACTGCCAAATCCCTCAACATATTAATTTATAACTTTAACAACAGCACAGATATGTGCCTTGCAGCGGAATGCTTTATCCTTGGAGACTCTGTAGTCGGCGCATTATTATCGCTGGGTCTCGGTCTCCTATGGCGTTTCATGGCGAACCTTTTTCATTTGCAACGCTCTTCAGCATTTTTATTGCAAGAGAGCGGCGCTTTATGCTTTAATGTTTTATCGCCACTCGACCTCTGCATCTTTTAGTGGTTGGCATGGCTCTTATTTAATTTTTTATTACTCGTATTTCTATTCTAACACAAAAAACCTTGCCCATTTTTGTGGCTGCGTAAATTGTGCGTTAAATTTACATTTCTTTTTTTCTCATTGTTATTTTCATTCGTTTATTTTTGTTCGCCTTTTTTTGGGCCTTCATTTTGCTACTTTAGTCGCGTTTTTTTGTTGCGCTAGTCGAGTTTTTTAAGCGGCTCTCCATTTGCATATTTAAATTGAACAATCACAAAGTGGCAAACACTCGCCCAAACACACACATACACATGCAGCTGTGGCGAATTTTAAATATTTTGATGGCGAAAAGGAGGCACAGGAACGGAAGAATATTTCTTTGTTGCATACTAAGATAATAAATTCAATTTTTGCCACTGTCGACCGACTGACTGCTCCACTCGACTCGCTTAATTTCGCAGCCATAAATCTAAATTCAGCGGCAAAAAACCACAACAAAAATACAAGGCAAACTTGATGCTCTTGTGTGTTCCCTTTGCCCTGAAATGATTTAATAGGAATGTTCGTCTGTAGCCACAGAGCAGCGTTGAATATTTGTTATCCTTCTTGGTATTTTAAAGCATTTGAAAGTTCGGCCTGCTGGCTTAAATCATACTGACAGGCTTTCAGTTGAATCGAACGGCCATTCATCATTCGGGCCCACAGGGTGGAGGGCAGCGGCATGGAATCAAAACCCAAGTCGTCGCTGCTCCTGCTCCTGCAACCAACAACTTTCGTTGCCATTTTCACATTTCCACAGCAGCTACATACATTACGCATTTAAATTTACGGTCTCGGATCGAGGTTTGGTTCGGTTTTGGGTCGGGGTCCCTGCTTGAAACTTTTGACATGGACGTGGAACTTTTTTAGTGCTAAAGTTGGCAGAGTGGCAAGGAAGGGAAGGCCGACAAGGGGTGACACTGAGAGGCTTTTCCGCGGTTCGCTTTTGTTTTGCACTGTCGCCACGGATAAATACAATTGTTTGTTCCTTCATTTCCTTAAACACAGAAAACAAATTGTCCGACCAGGAGGCACTGGAGGAGATCCGCCAGCTGAGCATGCAGCTGCAGCGTATACAGGAGATGGCACCGCCCAAGGGGGTGGCCGTGATGACGATATCGAGCCTGCTCGATGGACTGAAGACCTCCGGTGGCATGATGGCCGTGGCAGCCGGACATGCGGCAGCGCGTCAAAGTGCCCTGCCACTGTTGGCGCTGAATGCGGAAATGCAGAAATACAATCAGCAGAACATCAATGCGAATGGCCGGGGTGGCACTGCCAGTGCCAGTGCCAGTGGCCGCACAAGCATACCCACAATGGTCCTGGAGACGCCACCCTCGTCGACGCCACCATCGACGGCGTACGAGGAGCGAGCCATTAACACGGAGCTCAGCGGTGACGATTTCCGGGAGCAGCTGCTACGTCGCACCGCCGACGGTCACATCATCTGCAGCCGCTGCCTGGACGCGTCCAAGGAGCACTACTACTGCTGTCCGCCGCGCAGCGCCTGCGACCATATGGGCTCGCCCCAGCAGGAGGGCAGCATCAGCTTTGCCAACATCAAGCTGGACTGCATGTGTTCGCAGTCGGAGGACCTCGACCAGGACCAGGACCACACGCTGCGGCAGCAGCAGCGGCAGCGGCGTCCGGCCGTGCGCTCGGCAGCCACCAATACGCCGCCCCCCAGCTGCAAGCGTGCGCCCCGCAACCTGCTCGAGGCCGACGTCTGCATTACGTATCAAATTTGTGATAACTGTAGAAGTAAGTATAAGCTTAGTGGCCGCCGACGCAGCGGCAGCTGCACCCAGGCCCAGGCCCAGGCCCAGACCCACAGCCACGTCCAGCCCGGCGGCGCCACGGTCCAGAGCCAGGCGCAGTCGCGCAGCAGCGAGCTGCTACTCGATCGCAGTGTGAGCGTGGCCCTAGCCGCTGCCAAGGCCGCACATTCCACAGACGACATTGTGCTGTACACCAGCTCCACGAAAGAGAAGGAGGAGGAGGAGGATGGGGAGGAGGAGCAGCAGCAGCAGGATGCTGAGGAGGAGTTGCCCGAATCGGCGCCTGATCCAGCACCAGCGCCCTCGCTGGGCAATGTCTCGAATGTTTCGAATGCCTCGAACAACTCCACAAGTGGCAGTGGTGGCACAACGCGTCCCAAGCGGCCGGATAAGTTGGTTTTGGATCTGAACGATCGTTCAAAGTACACCAAAGAGGTTTCTGTATAAAGATTTGGGAAAGCTAAAGGCGGAGACAAGGAGCCAAAGGAGTTTCAAACTCTCTTTCAGGTGGTTTTTGGCCTGGCATCCCTGTTTGGTTTATAGTTTATGTTTACGCAAATTGATTAACCAAAGACTTTAAATTGTATTTCCATTAGCCACTTACTATACTCGTATGTAGATATCGTTACGATTGAGCTAAGGCTAGAGATAAGACACGCCCCAGGGCCTTAAAACACCTGACTTCAGTGAAAGGATAATGGAGAGTGTCGTCGGGTCAGGGATTTGCATATTGCTGAGCAACATGATTTGCAGCCATAATGAGCCCCTCAATGCTGTGAATATATTTTGCCCAAGCGAAAGGCAAACAAACCAAAGAGCCCCAGACAACACACACACAACACTTTGCTGGAAAGTCATGTGTTTTGGGCTGGCTGTTTAATTGAATTTATGTACATTTGATGCATGTGAATAGGTGCAACATAAATTGCTTAATAATTGAAAATGGCAACGAATCATTTCCAATAGTTGTTCAAATTATAATGACGGTGAAATGCATTTGCTGCTTAATTAATTAAGTCATGTCTAAGTGCCGATCCAATTAAATTACTAATACAATACGTTCCAACGCAGTGCAGTCTCTCTCTCTCTCTCTCTCTCTGTATACACTTTAACAATAAGTTTGTTGATGGAAACTGTTTAAAATACATACATATCTCTGCCAAAACACAACACAAACTGCATGGAAAAACCCTAAATAAATATGCGAACATTTAAACGTAATTGTAGTTAAAGTTTCTGATGAATTAATTAGCTCGTGTATACATAATTAGCTGCAATATATTACACACACCTCACAATTGTAAAATAAAACAAGTATTTGATGTATGTAGTTAAGCATTGCTGTTATTAAGTGGAAAATACATTAAATGTATGGCTTAAATGTTGTTTAAAGCAATTCAATAAATGCCGCATCAAATGGATGATGCACGAATGTTATTTCCTTTCGCCACCTGGAGGCTCAGGTTCTCTCATTAAGCATACGCAGCGTGCGATACACTATGAACAGCACCTGCTGAGTGCGTACTGCATATCTGGCCACGCCTATCTGTGCCAGGGTGTGGGTGTGGCCAAGCGACGAAAAGTGTTGTCGTCTTTCCCTGCGTATTCTTTATGGGCATGTTATGGCTTTTATCTTTATGGACATGCCTGCGTGTGACCCTTTTTGCCATTTATGTCTGCCATTCCGGAAATGCCTTTTCAACTCTCTCCCACACACACGCACACACTGTGATACACTCACTAAGGACACTCTTACTGTGTAACTGTTTCCAAAGGAGACGTTAATTTAAATGTTTTACGGCCGTCGCGTTGGTTCCGCCTCATCGGATGTTGTTTTGTTGCCTACGCTCTTCTGTTCTTTAAGTTCTCTCTCTCTCTCTCGTGCTTTGTTTTCCCTTTCTGTTTGTGTTTCAAATTAAAATTTTCCCAACAGGATGACAGTATTGCCCATGCCCCCACACCGCTCTACAGCGCTCTCTTGGGTATTATCAGACCCATAAATGACTTCCAGGATGTGTGCCTACGTGGCTGTGTGTGCTGAATTTTAAGCAGAACTCAGAGCTGCGGCACGTTCTCGAGTTTTCTTTAAATTGAATTTCAATCATTTCACTCCAACAAATATGCCTGAATAAATATGTCTGCCATGGATATACACAGATATCAGCATACATACATATATATTAGCTGCTGCTTTTTTTGGGCTTATTTACTCGCACAGACAACAACTTTTTCCTTGCAGTTCAAGCTCGTGGCGACATTAATTAAACTTTTAACATATGCGGCGCCCAGGCAACCAGGCCAGTAGTCAGTGCGAGAGCTTCAGAACCAGAGGCTGAGAGTGTCTGAAAATCCGCTGAAATAAGCGTATACGTAAACGAGGCATTTTCCACTGTTAACGACTGTCGCCGGAAACTGATTTTTTACTCTTTTTATTCACTTTTACACTGCCATGGAAAAGCGAACGAAATATGGGCATTTATTGGTTCAATTGGAGTGCCCCGCAGCCACGCATTTCCCGACTGAATCCTTCGCCAGGCAGCTTTTGTTCACCCCCCCCGACACAACCACCATTAAAAGCAAACGTTTTCCATGGTAATTAACATCAGCTCTCGCCCTGCCAGAGCAAAAGGGTGTTGCACAAAAGGCTTAAACAATTATCTCCATGGTAAACGGTGCGTGATAGTTGACCAATTGAAAAGGAATTGTCTGGCATTCAAAGTGGTTAAAAATAAAACCAAAATATCTCTTTAAGCGTGACAAAATGTGCTCTAAAATTGATCAAATAAAGATGAACTTGCTCAAACTTCAAGTTCAATGGCCAAACACTCTTCATTAGATGCAATGACCTGCGGGGCCTGTGTTTGAGGCTCAAGAGTAGATTTTCGGAACATTTAATTAAACGCCTGTTGCAGAAGCGAAAAGTCAGAGCCAAAAACTTCATCTTCCCCCCCCCTGGGTCATAAATTTCAAAGCAAAATGAGTGGAAGCTGCAGGAAGGGGGAGGCTGCAGTAACGATGTAAGTGGAAGACGCTCTCTACGCTCTGTACAATGCCAGACGGAGGAGCACCAGAAGCAGCAGGTCGTTCTCTAAACCATGAAAATGGCACTTAGCAGAGAAGAGAACCAAATTGCTTTTTTCATCGTCGGGCGGGCAATTGCAAAATCTTAAACAGTGGCTCGAACAAATTTATTTCCATGTCGATGTCGATGCTGAAGCCATTGCTGGTGTTTGATGGCTGACTGGGTTGTGGCCTGGCATGACCTGGTCTGCTCCCCTATCGGCCCTCTGATTGTGTGTGGCAGTTTTTGAGCATTTTTTTTGTTGGCATCACTTAATTACGGCAATAAATGCCAATGGCAATTTCTTTGGCATTAAATAAAAACATGTTAACGACTTGCCAAAGCTCGAAAAGAACAAAAAGCGATGAGGAATAATAAAAAGAAACGAATGGCAAGAAGGCAAGGAAGCAAACAAACAAACACACATGCATGTGCACACACACACACCCACACACACATCCGTGTGGGCTGTGATGGGGTAACAAGCTGTTGGCAAGGACACCGCTTGTTCGGGCTCGCTCAGCTCGTGCTGCTGCTGGGCGTGTAGCCAATTAAAATTAAAGGAGGCCGTGCCTGTGTGTGTGTGTGTGTGTGTGTGTGTGTGCGTGCCAGGGGGTTCTATCAAAAACAATAAAATTAAATTGCTCAACACCTTATTAACAGCAGATGGCTCAGTGCCCAAAATAATGGTAATATGTGTAGCAAGAAAAAAGACGACAGAAAACTCAGGCGACTCGTGATTTTAGTTTCTTTTGCTGTCTATGAGGGAGCGAGGAAACTAAAATAAACAGAGTACTAAGCATTAGTTGGGCTTTAAGTTTGTTAAATTTAAATGTGAATTTTAATTACATTTCATTGGTCGTGCCACGCCACATGCGAGGCTCTTCTCAAATATTTAGGGCCGTTGATGGCTTTATCTGCAGTTGTCCTGTTTACACAGAAATAATTCAACAAAAGATGACCTACGCTTTGCATAAGCTGCAGAAATATATTGCACAAATATTTCAAGCACATTTGCATACGTATGTGTGATGTCAGCTCAAACGATGATGCTTGTAAAATATTTTTAGTGCATTTGTAAACATGCCAACAAGCTGCAAACTTCAGTGGCCACATGTCCTGCTCTGTCAGACATTGCAAAATAGAAATGAACTTCTAGCACAGCCATTGAAATGCTTTAATCGTATACGTAATGTGCTACCCCCCCCCCCCCTACCGCACCCCGGCAGGACCTCACACAATTGCATTTATGTGCACACGTGAATTGCATTAGGAAGCTGCCGACACATAAACTAAATCTACCACCTCAAGTGCAAAAGATTCCAACCCAGAAGAGGAAAAGTACGAGCAAAAAACAGACATTGAGGTGCCGACTGGGAGGGTGTTTGGGCATCCATTTGCATTAGAGATGAGCCCGTGATCTGGTATGCATAGGATTCAGAGACCATTGTTGAGCGACGATGACTGTTTTCAGAAGAAAATTGAGATGAAGTTCCCATCCCTAAAGTCAAAGTTCACGCACTTCTTTGGCCCAACCAACATGCACATCTCGAGGCGAAATTCAAACATCTCTTGGCAGTGCGAATGACAATGGCATATCACATCCCAGCTTCTGTGTTCCAGCTCAGCCACAGAGCCCCAAGGCCGACTCCGACTCCGAGTGTGTGCGAATGCGTTTTCTTACGTTTATATTCACGTTTACGTTTACGTTTAAATTTGTACGTGGCTGATGTGTCAGTTACAAGAAGCAATTGTGGAAAGTGTGCCGGTTGGCAGTTTTGGCATAAGATCTGCGATAAGCGCCAAAAGCTGGGATCCTAGAACGGCTTCAGACGTGTGTGGATGCTGTGAATGTAAATGTGAATGTCAAAGTGTGCACAATATTCGTAGAAAAACATATATTTGTACATATGCATGTGCCTGTGTGGCTGTTTGCTGCCAGCTGCCGATTCAGATAACAAAGGAGAAACTACTAGGCACCAAAAGTTGACAGAGACAATTGTTGTTTTGGATAGCGAGACTCAATGACTTATTGGCCACAAAGGATAGATGTGTGCATTTGTATGATAAGTACTTCAGTTCCGGCTTTGCTTTTACTCGTAAATGTTACACGTGTTTCCCTACTCCATCTCCTGCTTTCTACTCTCATCAGACATTAAAACTTCCTGCACTTCCTGCCAGTCAGCACTTCCACAACGTCACCTGCTGCCTTGAAGCACACAACAGGCTTCCATTATCATCCACTCCAATAGTTTTGCTCTGATTGCATTCCATTCACAAGCCACATAATATTTAGCCCACAAAGCTGTGCGGCCAGATGAAGTCATTAAATGAAACTCACTTCACATGCGTATACTTAATTTTAAGTATTGCAGTGATTTTATGTGCTGAATGTATATAAACAGGGAGTGTCATTATGAAGGAGCCGACGCTTTAAACACCCAACACGCTTCCAATTAAAATACAAAAATCCAATGCATAAAAAAAACCATAAGAGAATTGCACAAACACAGTTTGTGTGTGTGTTGCTAGGTACAACATCCGCAGCAACAACACACATCCGTATCCGCATCCGCGGATCTGCAACCAGATTGTACGTACATGTGTAGGAAGTACTTATGAGGCAGAGTAAACTGTTGAAAAAAATCGCGAAATGTTTTTAAATTTGAAAAGCGCAAAAGCGGTCAACACAAACACTCTCCAGTGATGTGCTCTCACGCACAATAAAAACTGCATTTAGGATTTAGCTCTTGAGGAGGAGCGGCAGACAGCCGCCCGTCCTGCAGGTAAATTGGCTTGGCAAAGAGCTGAAGAGGAATTTAATTCAACTGCAGAGAGAGAGAGCTGTAAGCGGACAAAGCAAAATGAAATTCAAGTGATTCAAATCCGGTGAACGGTGATAATGAAACAAATTTGCGGCATTAATTGCCCCAAACGACAAAGGTGGGACAAAGCCACATGAGTTGTGGCATACAATGGGCATACGCAGGCCCCCAATGGGGCAAATCTTGAACTCAATACACTTGCTGGCTGCTCAACGAGCCCTGAAATTAATGGAGACTGACATCGTAAATATGCCAAATGAGACAATTTTAATTAATTCCACAAATGTTCGGCAAGACCGCAGCAAACCTCATTTGTATACTGCATACGAATGGTCCATACGGTTCAAATGGTCATAAATATATTGCATTGTGGGATTTGAGACAGTCAAGGACGATGGCCTGCCTGACACTTAATCAAGAATGTGCCTGGGAGTAAATTCGAGAAAATTAGCAAAGTCAAGAAGCTGCAGGAGTTTGCACATAAAGATCATCTCGAAGCCTGGCATAATTTATGCTTGACTATTCGTCTGGGTGTGTTCTTGTAATTTTCTTGCAACTAATTGCTTTGAAAGCTGCACGGATGCCACTTGACACAGTACTTTGCGCTACAACTCCTTACATTCCCCCTGCTCCTGCCCAGAAGCAGTTGCAAGCGTCGCTAAATTAAATGGCTGACAAAGTGAGCAGCTCGGGAATCGCCCTACTCCTGCAACTAGGAGAAAGCATAGCAAAAGACACAACGAGTTTTCTTTTATAATTTGTCGCCAATTGCAGGAGCAGCAACAGCATCAGTGGCAATGCCATTGCCAGTTGCAGTCACAGTAAGTATTCCCGCCTTCAACCGTACAAGGACGCGGAAAGTGACAACTGGAAAACTGTGAAAAGTTGAAAACGCAAGGAGAAAGTTTGCCATAAATCAGAATATTTCAAAAGTGTTTGACAGCGAAAAAAGGGAAAAGGGCAGAGGGAAGAGCGAGAATGAAAGTGAACTGTGGCAGTCATAAGCCAAGATTATGGCCAAGAACTAGAAACCGTGTCGAAGCAGCAACAGCAACAGCAAAAAAAAACCATTAAAATGGAGTGCAAAAGAGCCCTGGGGCACTGGCAACCAACTGGTTAGACTCTCTCAGCACAGGACTCTTCCAGCAGTTACGCTGTGAAATGGCAAGTAAGTTTTTTGTAACTTTTCGTACATTTAATCAAACAATCATTGGGCAATTGTCTGTGCTGTCAGCAGGTTCGCCTTCTGTTTGTCAAATGTTCCCAGCAAAGAACAAACTGGCTGAGGGCATGGATGTGCCCAGTGTACCCAGTGGCAGTTCTGCTGCTCATCAACGCTGTCGCTTATCCTTCGACTGAGTGCAGTCCTAATGCAAGTATTTTGTGCCATCATCCATGCTGAATGACTCTGCCGCTGGCCCTGCCACTTTCCACCATCCAATTTAAATTCCTGTGCAACTTTTAGCTTCAACTAATCCCCGATTTGCATTACGCAGATGATCTGTAGTTGAAGCGACATTCCTCTCTCCTCTCTCCTCTCTCTCTCTCACGATAATCGTAGTTTTCGATGCCGCAGCAGGCGTGCCAGGCGACAGCAAATACTAGACAAAGTACACAAACGAGCTACAAAAGTTTGATTGACATTTCAATTAAATTATTGGCAAAGTTTCTGTGGCTGTCTCTGTGTCTCTGCCGCTGTCGCTCTCGTTTTTATTGGAATGTTTCGAGTGCAGAAAACTTTGCTCGCCGAATACGAGGAGATCTATGAGCCGGTGTTGGTGGAGAACCCATTCACCCTGGTGGACACACGCGGCATAGGTCTGCGCCAGTACCACGTGGCACTCACCCCCAGCCGCATAATCTTTGGCTGCGACAACTTCTACAAGCACGGACAGCGCGACAACGTGGCCAGCTGCTATGGGAACTGTCTCGACCCGGAGATCGAGTGCTTCGAGCTGGTCAGCCTCATTCCGCTGCAGTTGATCCGCTTCAACTTCTATCGCCACCTCGATCGCTGCCTCATGATGGTGAGTGTCAGCCATCAGCTACAGCTGACAGCCCCGCTGTCGCAGGAGCGTCCAATGATCTTGGAGTTCGGGGGACACGTCTTCCAGACATACTTCTGGCGCACCTGGCGCGAGCGTGTGTCCACCATTCGACTAATGCAGCCGCTCTACAGCCAAATCACTGGCCACTCGCCCTTCTCCAGCACGGACGTCATGGTGGACGACGAGGAGACCGCTGCGCTGGTTCACAAAGCGCCCCGGACACCGTCCGTCATAAGCAGGTGCCAGGCCGGGTGCTGACCAAAGTCATAAGAGGCTTTCGCAAATCCCTCGCAAACATTCCGTGACTCAGTCACTTTCCAGACTCAACCGTATGTTCATTCCGTTTGTCGATTTATTTATTTATTTTAAATATTAAAACACCTTACGTTGCCACCAAAAAAAAACAGGGAAAGTCTTGTATCCTGACAGAGTTTTGAAGCCATTTGTAGGCCATGCTCGGGGTATCAACTAGTCCATGCCCTGCCGGCCACTCTGTGTTTTTTTGGTCTTATTTTTTTTGTTGGTTAATGCAATCAGGGGCGGAGCAAGAAATGCCAGCCACAATTGGAAAACCAAAGCCCTGGTTTCGGCGGCTTGTCCTGTTGACTGTTTATTTTGGGAGGCGGAGTCGTTGTGGTGCGATGTTGGTACAGCTGGGATGACGGCGAAAGAATGCTGTATTGATGTGCCCAGGCTTTGGGGGCACTTCCCCCTCCTGCCCAGTCCTATTTGCACAGCCAAGTTAACCAACAAAGTTTTCAATTTGCCGACAAACTTAAGCCGCAGCCACAGCACTTGTCGTATCGTGTCGAGTCAAGTCCTGGCATGGGCCCGGGCAGGAGCAGAACATGTCCGTCTCTGTGTCTGTCTCTGTGTCTGTCTGAGCGTGCAGCTGACACCAAAAATCAATTGCAATGAAAATGGTTGGCAAGTAAAACCAACAAAACAGCAAATAAAACAATCGTCATTGGCCTTATTTGGTTTTGCATCATTTAATGGTCAAAGTTGTTCAACTTTTGTGTAATTTATTTGATTTGCTTTTGGTGGGCAGGCGGCCGTTTGATAAATTACAATTTATTTAATGAAATGTGCAGCCACAGAGGGAGTAGCAGAGCAAGCATTAATCATGCGCCATGTGGTGCGCAATAAACAAAACCATCCCTGAGAAAGGATTTTTAATTTTGAACAAAATGTTGGCCGCCTTTTTGGCACAACTTTAGTGTGAAGTTTGCCCACAAAAACCCCGTTGGCCAGGCAACGCCACTCCGCAAAAGTTAATTAAAAATCCATGGGACATGGACAGGAACCAATAAAAATAATCACACCACCACAACGACAGCAAGACCAACAGCCCACACGGCACCCGTCGCCCATCTAAACATTGTTGGCGTATTTTTTATGAATTTTTAATACACCTGCCCCGCCAGCGCTTGCCATTAAGTGCGGACCTGTTCAATTTCATTTAATTAGCCATTAAGACATTTAAACAGCGAACTCAGTGACGAAGGGGTGGCTTAGCCCGCTCCAGCCCCCCGAGGGGCAAAGCGGCAGGCATTCAAAATTGAAATAACTCCAGGGACCCTGGGACAACCATTACACATCCAGTCAGCAGCTCTGTCCGCGGATCTGTTAAAGCGTTCGCCCACATTCTGCGCATTTTTGGTTTCCTATTTCCTGTTTATTTACTTGCACACGGTATGGAGTTCAAAGTGTTTAAGCAGCCACATCAAAGCCTCGGTCTGATAATTGCTTCTTAAAAATTTGCATTTGAAATTTCTTTGGCCATAGGCCTTGGCCATCGGTGCGTATAGGTAATATTAATTTTGGGGGCATATTCCATTAACACGAAGCTTCGTTTGACATCTTGCCAGGGCATTAAGCATTGAATTTAAAGCGGCAAGCACACACACACACATACACATGTACATATGTGCAGCATAAGCTGACAAGACAGTGATGGATGTGTTTCATGTGTTTATTGAATGCCAACAGCTGACTCTACACACTGAGCCTCCCTGCGTGATGCTTTATTGAATTTACCATGCTGGCTGCTGCACATACATATTTATGTACGTAAATACATATGTACAGATCCATCCAGCATTGATGCAGATAACACAAGAGTCGAGTTCTTTTGTATTCGCTGAAATCAATATATCATTTGCATAGCTCATTGATTTCCCTCCACAAACGAGCAAACAGTTGGTGTTTCAATCGTAAAAAATTGAATACAATTTACCCCTATTTTCACACACACAAGCACACGCACACGAGATCTCTTCTCGGCTAATTCAATTTGAACTTTGAAGTTTTAAAATTAATTAAAACGTGCCTGGCATGCCGTGCGTAAAGGTTCCCCCCCCCCCCCAGTAACCGCTGTGAGGTGCGAGCCGCACGTTCCGAAAGGACTTTGTTTATTTGCCGCTTCTCCGCTTTCATGTGGTTGCACTCTCTGAATGGGATTTACAAATAGAGACCCGGGCAAAAGTGTTGCAGAATATATTATGAAGGAAACATTTTGTCACACTGCACTGCACTGAAGGCAGCAGCCAGAGGCGGTAGCCAGAACATGAGAAATCGCTGCAACGATGCTGAGGAGACACGAACGTATTTGCTTTTGTGTCAAGAGTGCAAAAGAAGCGCCCACGAACTGCGAGGGAAAGTAAGTAAAAGCCGTTAATGTTTATGATACTGATGGCTGCTGCCACAACCCGCTGCCACACGGCCACAGTGCCACTCTGCCACAGCCAGGTACACACACACACACACACAAACACAACACACATAGGGTGAGGCATGCGTCAAATTTATTGCATACTTTGCAGGGCGTGCATTAGCGTGGAAGCAGCAACCTCGGTCACGTCACGAATCTCTTCTAAAACACAAAAAACCGAGGTATATGCTACGTATATAGAGATGGAAAATGGGAAAAGCCAAGAGGAGCCAAAACGACAACGTGACTTGTCGGTGGCCCCCCACTGCTGATGGCCACACATCAAGCCAAATGGCTGAGTCACTTGAATTTAACCAAACAGCAATGACGAAAGAGTCAAGCTGCTCCGTTGATTGCATTTCGAATAGATCAACAGAATTATATACATCTACTAGAAATTAATTTAAATTATTCACAGCTACGCTTCGAGTGCGAAGATGCGAACTAAAATTGGTTTTGCCTTTGGGCTTGTCAAAATAATCTCCGAAAATGACAGCTGAAGTTTGTGATAGAATAGACAATGCCCAACAGCAGTCGGAGGCTCTAGAGCATTTCTGTGCATTAAATAAACACGGATACATAGTTGCTCCAGAGGTTATTTAGTCTCTGGGATCTGCTTCTGATGGTTACTGGTTGTTTACACATTCAACAGCCCACTCGGAGTTTGTGCCGTGCCCTGCAACGCAACTTAAAATCAACCAAGTCGAAAATTCAATCCCATGCAAATCTCTCTAGGAATTAAGGCAGCACCTGGCTACCAAAATCTCCAGCACCAGCCCTAAATACCCAGCCTCTCTCTCTCGCTCTCTCCATTAACGTACACACACATTGAAATCATTGGCCGACAGTTGAGAGACTATTAAAATGCAAAACTTTGCCCTACTGCAAGTGTGTGGAAATCTTTTGGGCAGCTTCCAGCCCCACATGCTTCACAAGTCGATACATTTCGGAGTGGCAGTGGCAGTGGCAGTGGCGGTGGCAGATGATGGGGCAACTGTCCAACAGGCACTTGCAGATAAACTGCAAGCAAACAGGGGGCCAGGGCCTAATCCTGCTGGCATTCTCTGAATGGTTTCACAGAATGTTGCAGCAGCTCCATCACCGTATGTATTTGCAGTTCATGTTGCCCGTTAAACGCCTACCAATTGGCATACCTCAGCGTTTGCATAGCAGCACCCTGCCCGCAGCTGCCCGCTTTCCCTGGAGAGCTCCGATTTTTCCGATACCGATGCAAAACATCTGCCTGGTGCGGACCCCGCTTGACCCAAGGATTGCAAATCGTAAATGTTAATGGCTGCACAGATTTCATGTGCTGGGGCTTTGGGCAAGCCTCGACTCGACTCCTAAATGCCCTCGCCAGCAGCAGGCAAGGCAGGAAAAAGGACAGAGTAAAATGTGGCCAGGTCTAAGCCTTCCCTTTTCTTTGTTTTTTCTTACCGAAACCATTCAAAGTGAGTCGCAAATCCAAAGGGAAATGCTCGTTAATGCTCTACTGGGTCTTGGGCAGGGCAGCGGCATTCAAATGATTCGAATGTGGACAGCATTAAGCAGCTGCATTTGGGCTTAAAGCCCCCGGACAGATAATCAAACTGGAATCAAGATTTATGTTCCAATGATTGCATTTTATCTGTCTTTCCTTCTTTCCTTCTGCACAAACTAAATGGAACATGCAGCCGCGGCGCAGATTTAGTTGAGATTTACAAGACGCACACAGCCATGCTCGTATTTGTCATAATTCATGTGAGTCCAACAGCAGTTGACACGATTGTAGCCATCACGTACATCGTGGCTAGATAAATCTTTTGCCACTAAGACCCCTTAGCCCCTGCCCTGGCAGCACTCAACGCCATTGTCGTCGACAGGCAGAGAGTCAGAGTCGCCACCTTCAGTACACTCTTCAGCTCTCTATCGGCCCTCTTGGATCTCTGATCACCCTCCGCTGTTTGTGGGCAGCACGTGCACGCTGTTAACCTCAAAAATGCGCTGCTAAAACATTTTTTAACGCTCGCCAGCTTTCCAACACCTCTCAGCCTGCTCTCCTACCCCAACCTCTTTCGGAGCAGACGTCTGCTAGGTTGTAGCCACAAAACATGACCGCAAGGGCGGCACCAGGCCACAGCGTCTAATCGAGACCCATGGCGCTGAAGTTGACCAGAGCGTGGACAATCCTTTTTGGGGTGCTCGGCTCTCCTGGCATACGTGTCCTGTACGTGAGTGGGATGACAAAGTGGCTGGGCGGCATCCTCATACTCCCTGCACTGCTGCCTACACATGAACATGTCCATCTAAAATACTAGAGCCGTACAGGGTGCCACAACCAGTAGTCGACACCTAACTCTGCTTTAACGAATTTAGTCACCCCGTTTAGCCTCTAAGCCTGCTCCTGTGCGTGTGCCGTGTGACGTGTGACGTGTGACGAAAGGCGCGCACGCGGCCGCTGGTTAAACCCAAACACACCTTCCTTTAAATTAAGGACCACCAGTGGAAAAGGGAACGGGAATGGGAATGACCGTGGTTGAATTGTTGGACCGCAACACAGACACCGAATACGACTCCAAGTCAAAATTCGAAGCTCGCGCGAAGTCACGTACGCGGCGAGGGACATTAGTGGAGGCCAGTGGACCCGTTCGTCCGTGCCCATATTGGGCAGCGACAAATTTTAACATCTGCATACAAAATGCAAAACTTCAGCGACTCTTAAAGAGGGGCCACAGCCTGCCACAGCTTTAAGCAGCTAAAGCAGCTCCGTGGGGGGGGGCAACCCAAAACGGCACACAAAGCGCCAGTTTATCTCGGCAACATTTATTCACTTGCCCCCAGACCCACAACTAGTCCCAGGCCAGGCCCAGGCCCAGGCCCAGGCCCCCCTCGGTCTGCTTTGTAGGTTAAAATATTTGCGCTGGTTAAGAAAGCAAACGCCCGCATGTCCACTTTGGGGTACGCAGCATGCGGAATGGGAGAAAAACGGGAGCAACAAAACTATTCTCAGAGAGCAGCGGAAAGCGGGCGCACAGATAAGAGTCAACAGAAAAAAAAAACATAATAATAATAATGCTGCTACTGCTGCTGGCCAGAGTTTTCTTGGAAAAATCCCAACAAAAAGAAGAAAAGAAATAGCAAAATGGAAGAACTTTTGGAAGAGCGTGAATGTGGGCTGTGCGGGGTGGGGCGTGTCTTTATGGGTGTGTTTTCTTGCATAAATATGAAAATGTGAGAAAATTTCCAATTTTACTTATAATTACTTAGAATTTCCTCGCATAATATTTCCTTTCATTTCCTTACTTTTCCGCTCTTTAAGGGCTGCGCTGGCTTATGGCCAATTATTCCTATTTGAATTTATCAAATATTTATAGCATTTAATTTTGTTATTCAATTCGCTGAGCAATGAAAAAACGACATAGTGGAATGCATTCTTTAAATACAGACAACAATAACTGGCGGTGTAAAGCATTTCAAATTAAATAGATTCAATATTTAAAGTTGCTCTTCGGTAAGGACATTCAGACTTTAGTCTGCCATTTTTTGTATCTTAATTTGACTGGTGATTAAAATTGCATTCCTGGAATGCCATTGTTCATTACCAGCGAACAGCAACTGCAACGATTGCCCATGTCCTTGTCCATGTTCATGTACGTGCCCGAATCCGTATGGAGACTCTTAATTTATGCATTACGGGTAACCGCAAATTTCACTTAAAGCACACTTGTTAAGAGGGCGACAGAATTGTCGATTGAATTGCCATAATGAAATGAAAATCCTTGCAAGGCAATATTTTATTTATCAATTACGGCCGATTCCGACACCAGATGCATTTCCGTTGGCGCCCCTTAACCACCAAAGATAAGTTGCTCTTCAGGCAGCCAGTGTATCCGTTTCATCGTTTCATTCAGCTGTAGATTCAGGCAGCACTGAAGCACAGCAAAGCCATTGCCAGTTATGAGTGTGTCCATAATGAGATTTGCTGGCTGATACTCGACATTTATTTATGGCCATTGGGGTTTCACTAACTGAACTCAAAGAGCGCTGGCCACCATAAATCTGAAGTGTTACGAGCGCGTCGCGTTGAGAAAACATTCGAGACAAGGGCGTGCTGAAACGTGGCAGAAGTTTTATCAGCAAAAATAAAACTAAAAAAAAAAAAGGAGAAAACCTTTAGGAGTTCAATGCGCCGCTGCACATGGCAAGCGGTTAATTTTGGAAATATTCTCAAGACCCACAGCCGGACTGCAAGAAAGTGTAGACCCAACCATGACCCACATTTAATGCAATAACAAAGAAAAAAGACAAGCCGGTCCCTCATGCGGAAAGTGCTTGCATAGTGCAAGCCTCAATTATGGTATTCCAAGCGGGAAACAAACTCGATTTACTGCAAAGAGACTTCGACTTCCAATGGGGTGGCTTGCGCTGGGGCACACTTCGAACAGTTCGAACAGAAATTCTGCTAGCATACTGGGATTGCGATTGCGATTGCGATTGGGAATGGGAATGGGAATCAATCGGCTGAAATCGCATTTGTCTCAGAGCTGCAACAGTAGGAGTAGAAGAAGGGACGAGGCAGCATCAGCATCAGGCTTCGTTAGTGTAATGAAATTTCCCGAACAAATCAAGCCAACAAATTGTTGCAATTCGCATACAGACCTCACTGCTGCTGCTGCTCTGCCAATGACAAATTTGCGGTCAATTGTTTTGGCTTTTGGGTTTGGCCAAGAACGGCAACCCAACTAAAATATCGAATTTGCAAATTATTTGTGCAGTTCGTAAACTAAAACTAAGATTTAAGGACAAATTAAATACTTTAATTAAGTTAGCCCAGCTGTCAATTTTAGTTTACGGAAATATGGTTTTAAATCCGTAAATAATTATAGATTAATGCATTTAATTGTCCGCTCCTCACAGCTCTACACTTTTTTAACATCAATATGTTTTTAAATTGCTTTGACTATCACTTTTTAATTAAATTGATTCGATTTTTTGAACAACCGAGCGACTGTCGTCTGCTTAAAATAATAGCAGAGGTAAATGTAATGGCAATAAAATATTAAAATACTTCTAAAGTGCATAATGGTTAAAACATTCATTAAAAAAAACACCTTGCAGTAAATATAATTACAAAATGTAGTCCGTTCATTAACTAATCCAATCACGCTTCAGTCCAGCCACAGCGTTAATTAATTATTTCATTTCAACACGCGTTCTCTTTTCGTTTTGTATTGTATTTAATCTAATGCACACGCCCCAGCAGCAAGCTGACAGCGTAATGAATTCAATGACTCGTAATGGGCCGGGGCGCGCACAACGAAGATTTTGGCCAGGAAAAAATCAAGCAAAAGTGAGAGTGAAAATGGTTGGCGCACGTAAGTATGCAGCGATTTATTTTCGCAGGCTGGCAGGCAGACAGGCAGTCAGTCGGGGAGTCAGCGGAGTGAGTGCAGTACAGGAAGGCTGCCAAATAGGCAACACCCCACCACCACATCTCTCTATTGACCATGTTGTGGCAGAGTGGCAAAGTGTACTCGAACATACAAATACTATACATACATATGTACATAAGTATGTACAGAGCTGACTGGGAGGGGAGGTTCGACTGGTTGCATACCCAAAAATAAATAATTGAATAATCTCTGGCCTTAACGAGCGCAGCTGCTCACCGACCAATAAGCTCGATTTAAAGCAAATGTTATATCTCACTGGGCACTTGGCCTTGGCCTAAGCTACTTCAAGGCTACCCATCCATTCCCTGCAGGGTTTAAACATTAAGTGATGGCAAGCACAGGACAAGATAGGAAGGCCGTGGGGGCGGTGGCCAGAACCTGAGAGTGTCTAGAAAACCAAAACAACTTGTCGGCATCATTCTCTTTGGTCCTGTCAGCATGTCCTGGTGCCCAGCCCATGCCGAGTAATTCATTAACATTTAACTTGATTGACACACGAGTCGGGGGACGACGGCTCTGGCGCTGAAGTGCGAGGGCTGATGATTTTTTGTTCTGTTTGTTTCTGTGGAAGGCACGTGTTCCGGGGGCAAGCTGGGAGGCACGCATACGATTTGTTTATACAGTTATAATGCATAATGGCATCGTATTTGCTGCCTAAGGATCCCCACGCACCTGCACAGATACACAGAGAGAGAGAGAGAGTGAGATTGTTACTTTGTTAATTTAATAAGAGAAAAGACGACAACAGGTGCTGCTCCATGTAGCCAGTGGCTGCCTTGTTGGCCAAAATGAAGTCACGTAGCAGGCATAAATCAATTGCTATGAGCAGGCATTTGTGCCGTTCAAATTGCACGACTGCATACATTGGTGTCGGTGAGGCTGGATTGCAGGACTTTGCCACGGATTGCTACTCCTTGCTAGCGACAGCTGCCAACTCGTAAATTGAGCACAAGCAATGAAACTGTAACGAGTCTTAATTTGTTTACCAAGTGCCAAGACCCAGTCCCAAGTCCCAGACTGATGGCAAATCAAATACCCAGCCAATGCGGCATTGTGTTGCTTAAAGGAATGTCTAGAGACTAAAGTGAAACTTAAGTTTGCCCAAATATGGATCGATTTCTAGAGAATAAAAGCCCACATCTGTGGCACCCAAAAACCGGACTCCATTCAATGTTTGTTGCAACATTTTTAGCCAAATTAAGTAATCATCTAGCAAACAGTTTGGTGGCAGATTAGCCTGCCTGTCAGTCACATGACTGCACACATGAATATCTGTATGCATGGCAGGAGTCCTTCCTTCCCTTCCTTCCCTTCCTTCCCTTCCTTCCTTCCTTCCTGGACATTTCCGCTGCAGTGACAAATCGGGCGCAATTTCAATGAACCATAAAAAGGTGAGAGCACAGTGGGACATTGACAGCGCCCGCCCACAGCTTCGTTATTTTCTACTGCCAACCTTGCGACAGATGACAGCATTGAGTGGCCCCGCGGGGGCAACAGAAACGAGGACTTGCAGGAGCAGTCATATTTTTTTTTTTCTTTAAACTTGTTGCTGTATTTGGTTTACATACAATGCCGAGTTGCTCCCAATTGGAGTGGAGTGGCGGCGTGTCCTGTCAGCAGGTCACCAAGAGAGAATCGTTATCATGGCGCGCAGCAGCTCGGGAATGTCCCATCCGTAGCGGCGCAGGGTCCTCAATGGACGGGCCACATCGTGTTTCTTCTACAAAGTGAGGCAGAAAATGGTTAGGCTGGAGCATAGACGATGCAGCTAGCTCAGACAACTCACAATATTGGCGTACAGAGTGGCCTGGAACTCTACCGACGTGACCGTGAGCGAAAACAGGGCAAAGTTCGATTGCTTTGACTGGGCATCCACGTAGTAGTTGTGCACATCACTCCTGGGCATGAGGGCCAGCAGGTCGGCGAGGAAGCTGTGACCCTTCTTCTTGATCTTGCTGCAGTCGCAGCTCTTTTCGGACAGAGGCACAGGCACCGAAATGCACGCAAAGATGTCCATAATGAACTCAATGTCTGCGGTGTCCACGCCGGCACGCTGCAGCTCTTCCAGCGCCGTCTGATAGGCCTCGCTCTCCTGCAGCTGCAGGGCCACCTCCTCGAATACGGGCGTATTGAAGAAGCGTATGGCCTTGCGGAACTTGGCGTCGCATTGAGAGTGCGTCTCGATCAGGGCTTCCAGCGCCACGTGATCGATCAGGTCGCGCACACCCTGGAAGGCAATGCAAAGTCCGGCCTGGCCATTCTTGTCGCCATCGTCGAAATTGGAATTATTGCCACCATCTGGGGGACAATCTTCGGTGTTGTTGCCCGCCTTGGACTGTGCAAAGGTGTGGCAAGTGAACACCGCCAGCACCACGCAGAGCAAGGACAGCGTCTTCATATCCATCATCATCATTCGCGTTGATTTTTGCTCTGGACTGCAGCCCAGCCACTCCAGCTTTTATAGCCACCCCTTACAAGCATTTCCTTTCCAGTCACTTTGCTTATCAGGCAAAGCGACAGCAGCAACCCAACCACCAATTAGTGTAAATTGCAGCTCGGGTGACGTGTTACTTCATTACCTCTTATCAAGTCTCGGCACATGCCATACCCTTTCCTACAAGAACTGCAAACAAAAAATCTCTTAGAATTTTCGAACATCTGCTGTCAATATTGATGCCCCCTAACTTTGACAGACTAATGCTTAAACGCTTCATTAATTCGAAATTCTCTGGTCTGGATTGTTGCCAAGGCCCCCTTAATACTGTCTGATCCGCTCATTAATGCCACAAAGGCAAGAGACTTATAAACTGTGCACTCGTCGTGGCTTGTTGAGGGCACTTTGCATGCGATTATGCGTAATTATGCAATTTCTAGCCAGCAGCTCAGGAAGAGCGGAGAGAAAGGTCAGTCTGTAAGTGCAACAAGTGACTCAATGCAGGGCATAGCATACTCAGATGACAGATCCAGACGGACTCTGCATGTATGGGGGCGTACTTGGCCATTGTTTATCCAGCAGTTGGGTTAAGCTCGATATCAGTTTCAGTTTCAATTGGTAGACACAAGAATGCAGCAATTGGACAGCGTGCAATGAATCGAAATCATTCAATTTTTTTCAATTCCATTCAATTTGACAACAAAACAACGAAAAAAATCCTTCATAATAATATTAATAATCATACGCACCGTTGCATCGAATTTATCTCCAAATCGCCTGAGGGTCTACACCATACAACATTCGCACAAACTCACACACAAGTATCTCTACCCATAACAACCAATTGTAGCAAATATTTGCCAACCAATGTAGCGGAAATAGTTGCATTCTTTCTCAGTTGTGTTTCTTGTTGACAACACTTTTTATCTGGCTGTAAAGAAAAATACTCGCATCACTCAATGGCAAATGACGATACATGGAAAAGAAACAAATGGCAGATAGCAATATGTGAAAACTTTAGTTCCGCCTCAGTTGACGGTAAAGCTGGTCCCTACCCGGTGCCCTCCCTCCTGCAGCTGCTGCAGCTGCTGGGAACTGCGATTTATTTTCAAGCATTCAATGGTTCAAATAGTAGCAAAACATCAAATGAAGCAGATAAACTGCAGGCAGGATAACAACTTTCAGCTCAGTCAAAGGTTGAAGAGTTCAAAAGTGTTTGAAAAGCGTCTCCGTCTCAACTTTCTGCCAAGGTTAAGGGCAGTGCGGAGAGGGAATGTCAAGTGAAATTGCACCAAAAGTTGAGCATACATTCGTGCACACGACTATGTATGTATCCCCTGTATATTCAGAGTTCAAAAGTTTTGCTGCCTACGACGGGCATTAAACCTGTGTGTTGCCTGCTAATAAAATGCCATTTCAAAAAGGCAAACCGCAGGCAATTGACCCGCTGTCAGCGGCATGCAGGTTTTTCTTTGCTCTCCCACATGCGAGCATACCCCATGGCACACACTGATTCGGTCTCTGCTGATGGCAGATCATAGCAACATATTTCTGATGTTTCCACATCAACCACAAAGCACGCTCCACGTCCTATATACCAATACATATATTTATTTGTGTCTGTGCGTGTGTGTGTGTGACTTGTTTGCCGCTGCGCATGTATGTATTCGGCAAACCATTTTCATTTCCCTGGACAATTTACTCAATTAGAGCCGAACTTGAAGGCTTTGTGGCATTTACGAGAATCGCTTTATTATTGCACTTAAGCGGAGTCCAAGGGCAGCTGGCTGGAAGCAGGGGCACACGACACTGACACACTAAATTTAGTTGGCTGATAAAACTAAAGTGAACTAAGCCGTGGAGGAACGGCTGCGAGAAGCGATAGTAAAGGACAGATAGAACAGAGCCAGGGGTAGGGATAGCCCCTACCGTTGGATAGGGAAAGTTGAACAGCTAACTTACTTCGATAAACAGGCTTAATTAGCGACCAAAGCTGAAAGTCAACAGACTGCCAACTGGACCTGGCACTAGGCGCATTAGAACCAAATCCAGGCTCACACACACACACGCACACCACGCATACCCATAAAGTTAATGCCACTAGCACTAGCAGGGCCAAAGCACAGGATTGTACAGTGGATGTGAGGAGTAAAAGTTCTCACTATCAAAAATTACTTTACATGGGAACAGTTAATGGTATTACTTGTTGTGCTAGCCCAATGGAATTGGTTTTCTGTTTTATTATAAGAGCTAAAAAATCGCTTGACAACTTTTAGTTGATTTCGCCCCACAGTGCCTGGCCAAGAGCTTCCTGAAGAGTTTCGTCGACTGTCAGGCTTAATTATGTGCAAGCAACAATGATATTTGTATTATCAGCCAGTCAATGTCAAACGTCAGAGCCACCCACTGGCCAACCCCCCACAGTACTCAATATAAGTTGGAAAGCAAAGACGCCCGACAGTGTAGAGCCCAAAAGGGAGAGAAAACGGAGACTTTAATAGGTTCGCTTGTTCCCCTGATACGCCCACATGTGGGTATACTGTGGGTATAAAGGCTGGGCAGGCAATAGCCCAAAGTGACCTCCAGGCGGCACGACTGTACTCGAAGCAGCTCAAATGGTGGCAGGAAAAGTGAGAAACGGCTGAAATAATTGCAGACTCATGACTCGCCCAGTCGGCAGACAAATGATGTGCAGTGGAAAATCAGTGAACCCCAAAAATTTGAAGAGGCCTTGAACCTGAGACCATTTAAGTCTCATGCGCTGAGGGGACACTTTTAATTAATTTTTTTTCCTTTCGCCCACCCTGCAACTGTTGCAGGAAAATCAATTTCTACACTTTCCACGGCATTTTTCTCCATCAGTTCATATTTTTTTTCGCATCGAATAGGAACAAAAAAAAACAAAAACCTTTGTCGTCCATTGTTGGGCGGTAGACAATTAAAAATGGCAAATGGCAGCGTACGGTTGCGGCGGGTGAGCCGGGGCAGCAGTACTATGGGCAGCAAATTGGGCGAATAGAAGGTGACAGCATACAAACATGCAATGGCAAAGTGTTGTCATCTCGACAACTGGGCAAAAATGGTGCAACCTCCGTGTGGCAGTCACATCTCTCAATTTGTATGACAGCTCAACGATGGGTTGAGGTATACGCCCGTGTGTGTGTGTGCACGATTGATGAAAAGCGACAGGGGGAAAAATGGAAAATAAAGAAATTATATATACCCTGCATCAGAGAGAACGCCCAAAGAGCTTACCCAAGGTTTTTGGTTTCCTTTGCCCTTGCTCTTAAAGCATGTCTCGTGTTATTACAAACGGAATGAACCATTTTCCCTTTTAAGTTTTTCCGCAGAATAACTGACGATAACTGACAAAACGAAATGGGAGACAAGAAAACTACCTCTGTAAAGGGAAACGAGCACCAAAACCGAATCAGAGTAAAATTCACTAGAAAATCGGCAAAGGAAATAAACAACCATAAAGGTAAATTCATGAAAATTCAGCAAAAGTCAAGCAAAGTTCGTGGAAATTCATTCCTTAATAATGCACCAGAAAATATTCCGACAGAAAATATTCCACGTAATTGTAATGGTGGTGTTTTCTGTGTATTTAGTTTAGTGGAATTAAATGTATGTTCAAAAGTTTTAAACTCTTAAAAACTTATTCCTAGAAATCAGCGTTTTTCACAAAAGGGGTTTAAAATTGTCTCTTTAGAGGAAATATTAACAAAAAAGAGAGAGATTTGGTCCGTTTTCCTTTCTTATCCCAAAATGTCGTATACCCAGCTTTGATGTTTTGCTGGGTAGGGAAAAGGTAGAAAAAGGCATATAGAGAAAAGACAAAGGCTTGCTGAAGTTTGTCTAGACAAATTGTGTCCTTATGCCACTGCCACACGCACCCACGGACACCGGCAGGGTGTGGGCCCAGGCCGCCCTTTTGGCAACTCTGTGTACACACACTCGACTCGACTGGGGTCTGCGGGTGGGGGTTTATCAGTTTAATGGCTGCCATATTCGCTGAGCTTCTCTTCCATTCAGGTGAATGACTGCTGGCTGGTCCTCGAAATTGGCAACATGAGTTGGCAGCAATACCAGCCACCAGCAGCCTCATCTGTGGGTGCAAAAAGTAATTTGTAAGCAAATTATGATAAATTGTACCCGTTGATGAACCCACGACCGGAACGGAACACCCAGCTCATAGGTAGTCCGAAGGATACCCGTCGTAAGCAGGAAAACCATGGCTAGGGACTGCCATGACTTTGGGTGGTGTTCTATTCCATTCATTATTTGAGATAAATTATAATGTGCTGCAGCGCAGCCAAACACTTTGCGGAATTCCTGACAATTTGTGGCCAAAGAATTGCATTGGAATTGCCAATTTTGCGGGCATTTATTGAATGAAATTCAAATCAAATAGTGTTTCCTGTACGAGTATTTGTGTTTGTCTCATAAATAACTCGGACAGGCACACTTACTTGGGGTAGAAACGAAAAACCTTTGAGAAAAGGTACATATATTTGTGTTCGCCAGGCAGCTCAATTAAAATTACATTAAATTGCATTTGGATTGCGTTTTCCAAGCCGCCCCGCTTGGGGTAGATCCTTACCCGTGCTTGGAATTGCCTTTTTTTGCAGACAGCATCAGAAGCGGCTGTCTATGCATTTGGGATTTGAGCTTGAAACAGAGACAAGGAGGACACTCAAACGACTTGCCCGCAGCGCCTTCATGCCCATCCTTCATTCTGCCATCCAGCCATCTCCTTTCTCAGTCGTCTCTGTCTCTGTGTCTGTCCGTGGCCTGGCTGAGTGTCTATGCATTCTCTGCTGTGGTATTTTCCATGTCGCTGCATTGCTTTCAGCCACCAGCTCTGGCCAACTTCGACTCAACCCGGCTAGCTTGGCATTCAAGCAATTTCCAAACGCAGAAGCAGCACCAGCGCAAGTAGAACACGCAATAAAGCTGTTGAAAATGTTAAATATTCAACTGTTTGTTGTTTTAAACGGGGT